GAGTTAAGAACGGTCCCCTTTAAAGGGTCTCTCTGTACTACCTACCCCTAAAACCCAATGATTTGGTTGGACTCATGTGATTTGCAGTTGCTGTTCATGGGTAGTTATAAGTAGAGTTATAAGTAGGGTAACTGTACTTAGAACCCATATTAGGGGAATTATAACTCTGCATATAACTACCCATGAACCCTAAACCCTATACCCTTATAGAATCCCTATAGATCCCTTTAAAGGACCCATAAAAACCCTATCTTATAAATACCTATGAACCTCCAAGTAGAGCGGGAAATCTTGAAGAGGAGAGTCCGAAACACTAAGCCCTAAGCACTAAGCAGCTCAATAAAGAACACCGAAAGCTGACACCAAACGCTGAACCCGAAACCCGAAACGCTGAACCCTATACCCTAAACCCCAAACCCCAAACCCAAATCCTTAAACCCTGAACCCTCATCCCTAAGCCCTAAACCCCTGAACCCTAAACCCTAAACTCTGAACCCCAAACTCCCTTGCCCACTGGCACAGATGTCCTCGCTGCACGAGCGTGCTGCACGAGCTACCGCGGTCCGAAGCTTTGCGATTCTCACATTCGGGTTTAGGTTAGGAGTTGAGGGTTTGAGGGTCCGGGTTTAGGGTGTAGGGGTTTAGGAGTTGGGGTTTAGGGGTTTGAAACTAGGAGCTTTCGAATACAAAAGCCTTTGTAATGAGACTCGGGTCCCAGGGTTTAGGTTTAGGCGTCAGGGTTTTGGGTTTGGGGCTGGGGTTTGGGTTTTAGGATCTTGGGGATAGAGTAAGCTGCAGCAAAGGCGGACTTTGAGGGGATTTCGTTGTGGCTTTGCGACCTGAGGGACTGCAGGGGTCTATTCCTGAGGAGGCCCCGAGAGGAGCCCTTGGTTCCGTATTCAGCAGGGTTTTTATGGGTCCTTTAAAGGGATCTATAGGGATTCTATAAGGGTATAGGGTTTAGGGTTCATGGGTAGTTATATGCAGAGTTATAATTCCCCTAATATGGGTTCTAAGTACGCTCGATTCTCACCTTGATGCGTCGGTACTCTACTGGCCTGAACAAGCCTATACAAGTATGGAATGGTAAAAACCCTCAACCCTAAATTCTGCAAGGCTGAAAAGAGGCGATTAAAGAAACACAACCCTAAAAAATGTAATAGTCTAGTCTGACATACTTCTTCAGTTTGTTGAGGCGGTTTTTTGTTCGGGCAACTGCGGCCAGCGGATCTCCAGAGCTCCGGACCCTTGAGCCCTACCCAGAGATCCCAATACCCCTTTAATTGAGGTATATACCTTAAATGGCTTAGATCACTCTATTAAGGCCCCTATCACTTTTGGTATATTCCTTAATTTAAAGGGTATCGGTATATTCCTTAATTTAAAGGGTATCGGGTTCTCTGGGTAAGCCCAAAGCTTGAATCCCGGAGGTCCAGGCTGAGAGCACGTCCGAAGCCCAGCATTTCGCAGCTCGATCGTCGTCTCAATACGTCTCCTAAGGGTGCTTGTAATTTAGGGGACCACAAAAGCACATAAGCACTATAAGAGGGTCTATATGAGAGATCCCTATCCTAACTTCTGCTTGCGTGCTTTTTGTGGGGCCCTAGTACCCCTGCCGTGAGATTTGTGTGGGGAAAAGAGTAAAAGCTGACAGATGGAAGCCAATGTTTCCGTGATTTATGGCTGAACTCATTCTAGTGTTGATGGTATGAATCCAGAATCACCCATAACAAGGAATATACCACAGTTTTCATAGTCTAGAGTCAGTAAGGTAATGGGTAATGCAAGATTAGTATCAGCAACCGTGGTCTCCTGCTTTTGGCTGCTGCTTATGTTTTAGGGAACGCGGAAATCTGTGATGGGAACCATCCCGGAGGGTTCTGGTCCATAAGAACTTAGGGTCGACTAGGAAAGACGCGCTCCGTCATCGGACAATCCGGACAGGAGCACCCGGTTTCTGGGTAGTCTAGCAAGGGTGATAGGGTACAGGGGTTGTGGCTAGATACAGCAACGGTGGCCATCTGCATTCTGTGACAGATCTCCTTGTGGTCTGAAGGCCCGTGCGTCCCATGAACGCTGAAGCCTGGACACCTTGACATCAAGCGTGTGAAAGCTCCAGTCATTCAAAACCGAAGCACTGAGACTAGGTACCAGGTGGTCGGAAGAGAGACCTGAGAATAGAAACCCCGGTAGTGTTTGTATGAGTCGTCTTCGAAAATGGCAAATTTCAGCGGGTTCGTGGTATTGAACAGACACACTGGGTGCACTCACAGCATGACGTCTTTCGACTGCCACTGCCCCCACTGCCACTGATGCAGCTATCGCTTCTGTAGCTGGTCCAGCGGCAGCAGCAAAGAAGGACATCCACGGTAACTCCCCATGGCGGCAACGGATGCGACTGCTACTGCTTCTGCTTCTCTTCCTACTCCTGATCCAACTGCTGCTGTGCTACTGCTACTACTACTACTACTACTACTACTGCTACTACTGCTACTACTACTACTACTATGATGACGACGACGACTACCCCTACACTACTACTTCTACGGCGACTTTGGCCACGACAACGACCCTGACGACCACGACGACCACGACGACCACGACGACCACGACGACCACGACGACCACGACGGCCGAGACGACGACGACGACCACGACGTCCGCGACGACCACGACGACTGCGATGACCGCGACGACCACGACGACCGCGACGACCACGACGACCACGAACGACCACGACGACCACGACGGCCGAGACGACGACGACGACCACGACTTCCGCGACGACCACGACGACTGCGATGACCGCGACGACCACGACGACCGCGACGACCACGACGACCACGAACGACGGCCGAGACGACGACGACGACCACGACGTCCGCGACGACCACGACGACGACGATGCCCACGACGACCACGACGACCGCGACGGCCGCGACGACCGCGACGGTCGCGACGATTATGCGAAAACCACTGCTTCACCACCAGAGCAAGTGCTGCCATTTCTGGTATTTTTTATTACTGCAGCTGCTTCCAGAGCCGAAACGCCTAAAGGTCTCGGAATTCTTGCATTCCGAGAATCGAAGACGACCTCAAAACTCCCGCGGACTCGGTGAGGTTGACCATAAGCGAAAGGATTGGTTTTGCAACCCTTGAACCGTAAGCCCAATTCGCCTAAATGCCACAGGTTAAACCCCAGAACAAAATTGCATAAGATAGGGGCATTAATAATCGGAATAGGGTTGTGGGGGTATATGTATGCTATACTCATGACACATTGGTTTATAGTCAGCATTTACTATAGTCATAACAAATATCTCAAACTTCGCATTGGTAAATTGTTTTCGGCCCCGATATTTTCCTCCGAAGGTCCAGGGCGAAGGCCGAGGAAGTGGTTCTCGAGGAGGCCGCCTTGTACCCGTAAATCAGATTAGAGATCCTACTATGATTTGAGGTATATTCCTTCATTACGGGATATTGGAGTCTCGGGGTAAGAATACAGGGTTTGGGCTTTAGGGCGGTTAGGGAGACTTCGATTTCGGGCGGATGAGGACCGTGGGCGTGGGAGCTTCAGGTTTTCGGGTCTTAAACGGGTTGTAGGGATAAGGTTTCTAGATGGGCGTTCTTACAAAGGGAGGCTCAGGAGAAGGGGCGTGAGGGAGTCCAAGGGGCGAGGCAAAAGGCCAGAAGGTTCGGCAGAGGGTTCAGAACTTAAGGTTGAAGTTGGCCGATAACTATGGTGGGGACGTCAAGAAGGACGGCGATGCTGATGATGATGACGGTGATGATGACAACGGTGATGGCCGCGATGACGGTGATGATGACCATGATGAGGGCGAATCGCAGTGTTGACGGCAGGTGCATCGTCCCAGAGGAAGTTTCATTGCAACCCTTGCCCCATCATCATCATCGTCGTCATCATCATCGCCAATCATTCTCATCACCGTGTTGCCATGGCTTTGAATGTGGTTGGAAAGCCCATTGACGCCGGATGCGCTGGACCGACTGGCAAGCGTCAGGAGACCTTTCCTGAGACGGTAGGTAGATGTAGGTAGCAGGAACATGGCGTCGGTTGTAACGGCGACAATGCCCAATGCACTGGTATTTACAGCTGTCTTGCCACATTCTGAAATATTCTGCAGATGTTTGACGTGACTGCACCGTCGAGAGCGTTCATGCCTTGTGCGAGGATGCCCAAACCACTGGTATTTACAGCGTTTCGCCACTTTGTACAACATAGTGTAGGCAGGTGCTTAACTTCTCTGGCATAAGACGCACTGTCGCAAGCGTTGATGCATTGTGTGCGCATGGCCAAAAACACATTGATATAGTACCCTTCTACGTCTTATACGTTATGTATTTAAACCCTAATCCCGAAGCATTAGAATTGCTGTTGTTGATGTTACAGTTGGTAGTACCATTATTACTATTATTATGGTTACTAGTAAATACTATTATGCTATCATTCTTTCATTATTATTCATGATTTCTATTTTCATTGTCATTGTTGTTGCTATTTTCTGTATTTGTTTAGGTCTGTTTTTGCTGCTACTATATTATGAGTAGTCATGATAGTCTGTATTAGCATTATTATCATTGCTAGTTTTATGGTTATGATTTATTTTTATGATCATCAATGATTTTTCTTATTCTTATCGGTATTACAGTTCTTTTGTTCATTGTTAGTGTTTAATCGGTATTATGATTATGATTGTTCTCATCGTCAATACTGTCGTCATTATTATTACTTTTAATAATGATAGAACAACTTGAGCCTTCTTTGAATTTCTAGGCTGCGACCCTCCGAGCGGAGAGTGCCGAGCTGCGGGTCTCCCTCTCCGAGGCCAGGGGAGTTTAGAGGCGGTGATTCAACACTTTCAATTGTGATACCAGCAGCAAAAACGGCAGCTCAATTCCAATGGCAACAACGAATGCACATGAAAGCAGATCATAGCCAGCCAACCTCCGCGACATTCCGACGCTCAAGCTGTCATGCCATGGAGCAGCCAGTAGCAGAAGATGGATGGCAGCTGGTGGCGGGCGACGACGACGTGCCGGAGCGCAACCCCCGGCTGCGAGAGAGGCATCTGGTTTGGCAGCAGATGGTGGCCGCGAGAAGCACTCGCAGCTTCCAAGATGCGGAGTTCCCTGCAGGCCCCCGGGCAGTCGATGGCCGCCGCGAAGACCGCGTTGGCACCGATGTCTTCCGGGCCACCTTGTCGGAAGTCAGCCACAGGGCCGGGGTGCCAGAGGAGGGTGTGCTGTGCCGGTGTGGGCAACCAGCGCAACTGCGCCGAGTGCAGAGGAAAGGTCCCACGTTCGGGAGGCCCTACTATGCCTGCCCTCTCCGTTCCTGCCGCTTCTTTGAGTTTGCAGACCAGGCGTCGACCGTAGCAGCCTTGGAATTGCAGTGGAAGCGCTTCCCTGCTTTTGGCGACTGGTGTGTGGTACGCGACGAGGGCTTCCGACCTGCTGATGTCCAGCAAGGAGGCGTTGGCGACTGTTGGTTCATGAGCGCACTCGCAGCTTCTTGGAGGCACCAGAGACATATTCGGAGCTGCTGTGTAATCGTGGATGTATGCATGCATGCGGGCATGGAGGTATGTACCTAGGTAGGTAGGTGGGTAGTTTGGTGGGTATGTATTTGTGCACTGATGCGTGTATACGTGTACGTGTGTATATGTATATGCTCATGTTGATGTGTGCATGGATGCATGTGTGTATGAATGTTTATTTCATGTGTATGTCACTATGCTTATACATGCCGTCATGTTTATATATCTATGTGTGTACACAGCTTTCACATATATATATATATATGTATATGTATATGTATATATATATATATATATATATGTATGCACACACATATACTTATGTGTGTATATATATACAAGTATATCTATATCTATATGTATATATATATATATATCTATATCTATATATCTATTTATCTATATATCTTTATATCTATATACCTATATATCTATATATCTATATATCTATATATCTATATACCTATATATCTATATATCTATATATCTATATATCTATATATCTATATATCTATATATCTATATACCTATATATCTGTATATCTATATATCTATGTATCTATATATCTATATAGCTATATATCTATATACCTACATCTATCTATCTATCTATTTATCTATATATACTTATATGCAGATATGATGGGTGTATTTGTGTATATGTTTGTATTTGCACATGTATGTATGTATGTATGTATGCATGCATATGGATATGTATGGGTTCTCTGTTTTCGTATATGTGCAGACATTTAGACCTTTGCTGAGGTTGGAAGCTTTGAAGCCTTCGTCCCAACACACTGCAAAACCACCACGCCCCAGTCGCTGAAACTTACAAGGTTGTGGCAGAGCGCCACGACTTGATGAGCAAGCTGCTTCCGAACCTCAACATTGGGGCGGAGAGCGGGTGCCACGAGGCCGATTGGTTTGCAACTGACCCAAGGGTCGCCTCTGTCAGGTGCATCCAGAATAGAGTGCCAGCATCGAAGTCAGAAGTAATTTCTGCATTTATGACTCGTTTGGGGCTTTCGGGTGCGTTTCGTGAACACGAGGGACAGGACAGTGGAGAAGAGTATAGCACACGCGAGATCGTGCAGCAAAGTAGAGCACAGCACAATAGAGTGACGCGTAGAAGAACACAGGGAAGCACAGTCTGTATAGCATAGCGCACTACAGCGAAGCTGCCCACCATACAATCTTGCGCGGCATGATGCTCGGCAACCAGCATGCACAGTCGTACCGTAGTGTAGTGCAGCGTAGTGTATGTACACAATTCCAACTCCCGAAACCTGAAACCCCAAGTCTTGTGACCCCTAGACCCGCTAGATCCCTGCCAAACGCCTTGGAAGATTTAAAGACCTTCGTTTGATGCCTAAACCAGGCTGCTACTGTAGGGGCCTTAATGACTAGAATAGGATCTTTGGGGGTTCCTGATTATAATCATGGTATAACAAACCCCCAACCCCTATTTTAATTATTAAGGCCCCTACATCATAGCACCCGTACAGTATCCATTTTCGTGGCCCCCATACCATAGACCCCTTTAAAGGAACCCTTTTTCTAATTGTTAAGGCCCTACATCCTAGTAAGTACCCGTACAGTATCCATTTTCGTAGCCCCATAACCATAGACCCCTTCAAAGGAACCCTTTTTCCAATTATTAAGGCCCCTGCATCATAGTATACCCGTGCAGTATCCATTTTCGTGGCCCCCATACCATAGACCCCTTTAAAGGAACCCTTTTTCTAATTATCAAGGCCCTTACATTACATTGTTTTTTTTGGCTCGGATCACAGGTTCGCCTCTTCATGGATGGCCGTTGGACCTCCCTGTCGCCCGGCTGAGGGTTTTGGGCTTGGGGTTTAGGGATTAGGGTACAGGGTATAGGGTTTCGGGTTTAGGGATTAGGGTTTAGGGTCTTCGGGTAGCAATTTAGGGGTTTAGTGTGGGGGTTTCGGGTTGTAGATGGCTGCACAAGATGTCCGTACAGAAGGCCTCGTTGTGGCGTGTCGTCTGGTTTCGGGTTTTTTTAGTGGAAATCGTGAAGTCGGAAACCCGTTCCAATAAGGCAGCTAGGTACCATGTAATGACACGATAAACGTACTGTAAGGCTACGTTACAGATACTTGAGGTTCCGTAAGTAAAGGGGATGCCTTGCAGGCTTTCGCGGGCCATAGAAGAGTCTATAACGGCTTAACAGCAGGTTCATGCTCTTACTACGATGGGACTTGTCTTGTTGGTGATCGATCTTCTGTGCAACTCTCTGATCATCGCAAAACATGATGATCTGGATGATGACCATACTGCTGATGATGAGCCTTCGCCCCAATCAAACCCAAAAACACCCACGACCCGAGGCCCTCAACCCGAAAGCCTAAATCTAAACCCAGACCCCCGGGAGGATCCAGGGTTGGTGGGTAGATGGTCGTCCACTAACCTGAACGGGTTCTATACTACTAAGGGTACTTCATGGGAACCCCCATTAAGGGATCTACTTTTTAAACCTCTAAACCCCTAAACCCTAAACCCTAAATCTAAGCCCGTTCAGGTTAGTGGACGACCACCTACCCACCACCACGAAGCAGCGGCGCCCCACCGCGGACGGCAGCGGCCTCGCCTTCGGCCGCTGCGCGCGGCGGCAGCTCTGGGTGTCCCTGATCGAATCTTCGGCCGTTTTAGGTCCTCTTACTTGGAGGTTCATGGGTAGTTATAAGGGGTTCCTTTAAGGGTCCCTTTAAGGGATGTATAGGGGCTCTAGAAGGGTATAGGGTTTAGGGTCTACTTGGAGGTTCATGGGTAGTTACAAGTAGAGTCATAAGTAGGGTAACTGTACTTATGATTCAGATTAGGGGACGTATAACCCTACTTATAACTACCCATGAACCTCCAAGTAGGGTCCTTTCAGGTTTGTGTTTGAGAAGGCTGCGCAATAGTGCTTTTTGTTATCAAGGCCTTTTATACTTGCCATAAGGCAATAAGAACTCCCTAAACCCTAAACCCTGAACCCTAAAACCTAAAAAGAGCTCCTTGTAAAGCCCCAGCCCTCCCCCTAAACCCCAAAGCCACAACCCCTAAACCCTAAATCCTAAACCCTCAAGCCGAAACCCCGAAACCCGTAACCCATTGGTGACATGAGATGACACTAACTCCTTTTGGCTGTTCTTGTTTAGGGAACCCTTGTACGAGCTCCTTCAAGAACCCTTGTAAACCCCAGAAAGACAGCCCTGACAGAATCCGGGGCTTGGGTCATCACCTTTTCCGATCCAAAGGCATCCTGCCAACTGGGTTTAGGGTTGTGGGCTTTTGGTCTTCGTGCTTTCCAGGTCCGGACTAGGTTTGCATCGAGTGTCGCCTTTCATCGCTGATGTTACGCGTACTGGCAACCTTCTACCGATGATGTAGGATCGTCAGTTTAAGTTTAGGTTCGAAATTCAGATTAGTGTGAGTTTTATTGCGGTTGTTGTCATTGTCATTCGTGTCATTTTTGCGATTTTGGTGGTGACCGTCGCTACATTCCATTTGCGGTATCTTCAATGTATTGTGTTAACATGTCTGTCACGGTACCGCTACATCCCAAACCCTAACAGGGCCCTAACAGTAGAACACTCGACACCCTCATTGCCTCACAGGCTTTGCAAGCCTAAACCTGGAAGCCCTAAATCAGAAACCTTGCACGCAGTCGGAGCTTTACACCTTAAGATCACTTGACTTTCAATATATATATATATCGCTAAACCCTAAGCCCTAAACCCTAAGCCCCGAAACGGATCTAAGCCGTCGGCTGAGGAGAAGGCCTACGCCAAGGCCCACGGGGCCTACCGATTCATCAGCGGCGGTGAGACTTCCGAGGCGGCTTTGCTTAGGGGCATTGTGGGTTTACTTGGAGGTTCATGGGTAGTTATATGTAGGGGCTTTTAGGGGCCCTTTAAAAGGGATCTATAGGGATTCTATAAGGGTATAGGGTTTAGGGTTCATGGGTAGTTATATGTAGGGTTATAAGGCCCCTAGTATGGGTTATAAGTATAGTTACCCTACTTATAACCCTACTTATAACGACCCATGAACCTCCAAGTAGGGGTTTAGGGGTAGGGATGTCCAGTGGGTATTCCCTGCGTCTGTCATGCTTTGAAGATGTCCTCTGCTACCCTAAACCCTAAACCCTAAACCCTAAACCCAAAAACCCTAAACCCCCAAACCCCTAAACCCCCAAGGGCCCCACTAAACTCTGAACTCTTCAACCCCTAAAACTTAAAAACCCTAAACCCTAAACCCCCAAACTCCTAAACCCCAAACTCCTAAACCCTAAGCCCTAAACCCCCGAAGCCCTAAACCCTAAACCCCCAAAACCCCAAACTCCTAAACCCTAAAACCCCAAGCTCCTAAACCCCACATCCCCAAACGCTCCTAAACCCTAAACCCTCAAACTCCGAAACCCTTAAACCCTAAACCATAAAACCCCTAAACCCCAAACCCTCAACACTAAACCCCTAAACCCCTCAACCCCTAAACCCCTAAACCCCAAACCCCTAAACCCTATAAGCCCTATAGGCCCTTTAAGGACCCCTTTAAGCCCTTCAAAGAGCCAAAGCCCACAAACCCTCCCAAACGCCTTAAACCCCAAAACCCCAAACTCCAAAACCCTAAACCCTTATAGAATCCTTATAGATCCCTTTAAAGGGACCCTTAAAGGAACCCCCTATAACTACCCATGAACTCAGGCGCTCCTGGAGCTGACCGGGGCGCCCACCGAGGTGCGAGTCGGTGAGTGTCGGAGCACTGGGTTCTGTTTTTGGGGGGTTTTAGGGGTTCCTTTTAGGGGTTCCTTTAAGGGGTTCCTTTAAGGGGTTCCTTTAAGGATTCCTTTAAGGGGTTCCTTTAAGGGGTTCCTTTAAGGGTTCCTTTAAGGGGTTCCTTTAAGGGGTTCCTTCAAGGGGTTCCTTTAAGGATTCCTTTAAGGGTTCCTTTAAGGGGTTCCTTTAAGGGTTCCTTCAAGGGGTTCCTTTAAGGGTTCCTTTAAGGGTTCTAGAGGGTTTCTGTTTTTTGGGGTTTTGGTACCTTTGGTTTATTTAGGGGTTTAGGGCTTTAGGAGTTTAGGTTTGGGGGTTTGGGTTTAGGGTTTAGGGCCCTTTAGGGGTTTAGGGTTGAGGGGCTCCTTTACCAGAAGAGCTTGAGATTTAGGGTTTAGTTCCGGTTTTGGAGGGGTTTTGGGATTTTAGGCTTGCTTGGAGATTCCATCAAACCGTGAATGCCAAATCCTACAATCCCAAACCGGCGCCCGAGGCTGTAAGCCTGTACCTTAGATTCCATACCCTTTGTATCGACCCCTCTGGAAGCCCTTACAGTAGCCCTCACAACAACAGGTGCTTGAAGAATCACCAGTATTATGTCAGATTCTTTTCGCCTGTCTTTTGCGCATGAGTCCATATCAGAACAAGGACACCAACCAACCTGAGAAACACGGGTCACTTCCGTGATTTCTAGGATCACATGCCCGAAAACCCTATTCTAATCTTATTGCCTCTGTGCCCCTAGATCTGTTTTGGATCCCTCTACTAAGCATCCCTACTCTAATTACTAGGGGAATCCGAGCTAGACCCTAAACCCTACTTGGAGGGTCCGGGGACCTAGTAACTAGTTAGTAAGTAGACTTATAAGTACCCTAAAAGGGACCCTAATTGGGGTTATGGTACTTATAAGTCCCTAAAATAACCAGTTACTAAGTCCCCTAAACCCTAAACCCTAAAACCCTTACAGAATCCCTATAGATCCCTTTAAAGGAACCCTAAAGGAACCCCTTAGAGTTACTAAGTCCTCCGACCCTCCAAGCAGGTGGTGCAGTTCCGGGACCCGGCATTCGACCCGGAGCTCTTCTGGGCTCGGATGGTTTCGCTCCTCCAGGCGGTGTTCGCGTCGATGGGATTTTTTGGGGGTTTTGCATTTTTATGGGTTCCCCATGAGGGTTCCATAGGGGTGTATGTCTATCTGTCAGGAAATCTTCAGGATGGTTTGTCCCTTTTTCCGGTGTTTTGGGACTCAGATTTGGGCGGTGTCGGTTTACAGGACCTCAGGGTTTCGGGTCTCGAGGTTGTCGGGTTGAGGATCTTACCTTTGCTATACTATGGGATCCTTACGACCTAACAGTCCTCAATTCTCCGAGTAGGGGAAGAGTTAGGGTTTGTAGTGGCCTAAGAGGGCCTAGAATAAGTTGCTAATGGTTTGCAACGAAAGGTTCTCGGTTTCTTCCCAGAGAACCCAATCCCCCTTCATTAAGGAATATACCTTAAAGCATAATATTTAGGCCCCTATTATTTAAGGTATATTCCTTAATTGAGGGGTATTGGGTTCTATGGGTTGATGGTGCGTCAAGCCCTAGACTTCTGCCCCCCTTGCTTGTCCGGAGCCCTAATTGTTTCCCATCGCGTCTGCCCTCTCTTCCGCCGTTGCCCCAAGCGACCTTTGCCCCTCTTGGAAGCCCGAGCTCCCTAAAAGCAACGAGAGCTCCATCTCAAGCCCTTAGACTTGGGACGGTAGACGCACAATTGAAAACATGGTTTCTTCAGTAAATGCATGAGGAAGTCCCCAAGATCAGCCCAGCCAAGCGTAGCCCACCAGCCCAGACCCACAGCAGAGCCCAGCCTAGAGCCCAGCCATCCCAGCCCAGAACCCCAAACCCCAAACCTTAAAGCCTGAACCCTGAACCAAAAACCCTAAACCCTAAACCCTAAATCCAGCACGGAAATCATGCTGCAAAAGGAGGATCTGCCCAAAACTGCTCAAAACCTATTAGCACCCAAGCCCCTAGCACATTTCTATAAACCCGAAACCCTTTTTGGAATCCTAAGCCCTAAACGGCCCTAAACACTTAAAGGAGCCTAAAACCCTAACCCCTTAAAGGAACCCTCAGCCCAAGAATGACGTCGTTGCTTTCTCTTCTCAGGCCGGCTGCCCCATCGGCTGCGGCACCGGTGCAGAGACCCTGGAAGAGCTTGGGCTGGTAGGCTGGGAGTCTCAGAGGGTTTGGGGTTTAGGGTTTAGGGTCTAGGTCTAGGTGCTTGGTTAGATATGGGGTTTAGGGTTTTGGGGGCTCAGGGTTTGGGAGTCTCAGAGGGTTCCTGCGTGCTTGTGTGTATGTGTGTTTGTAGTTTTTTTTTTTTTTTTTTTGTTTGTGGTGCTTTGTTGGATATGGGAGTTTCCGAAAATAGGGGACCCTAATCTAGTATCCTGAATATAGGATCCTGATTATAAGGACCCCAAAGTGAGGCACCCCCCAATTTTCGGAAACTCCCATATGGGTTTAGGGTTTTGGGGGCTCAGGGTGTTTAGGGGGTTTAGTTAGGGATAGGGTTTGTGCCTCCTTTGCCGGTGCTTATGTTGGATCTGTTTCTTGGGTGTTGGCTTTGTGGGGGTTTAAGGGTTTGGAGGTTCACGGCTGCCGGAATATCCTGAATTTAGAGAACAAAACATATCAACCCCGAACTTAAACCCCAAAGCCCCTCGGGAAGGCCAGCACGCCTACTCCGTGCTGGAGACGGATGAGGCCTTGCAAGCGGCTTCTCAGGCAGGCCCGGGCGCGCCCAACTTTGCAGAGGGGCTTTGGGACCTTAGGGCGGAAGGGGGGGTGTTATAGTTTTATGGGTTTAGGGCGTTGGGGCTTAACGGGGGATTTTACAAACGGTCTTCTCAGCTGTTCAGAAGGGTTCTATGTTCAGGTTTCAGGGCTTAGAGCTTTTGGTGGTTTGTGGTAGTTGATGGTGGTAAGTCTCTCGGTTTCTTTTGTTCTCGTCGCCGTTTCCGTCACCATCATCTGCAATATCATCGCCACCTTTCACATGTCGTGTGCTCTCGCTTTCGTGAGTGCATTGCTGTTGCTGTGCTTGCAAGTTGTCGTATTTCCATAGAAGGCAACTCAGCGACTGTTCTCGTTGTTGTCAAGCACTGCAACTGAGTTGCACCCAAAGCCCTTCTCTGCCCCAATGCCCACCAGAGCCTTAAACCGTTTTTGACTGAACCACTGCACACTCCCTTGCAAAAAGCAATTACATCATCTATGATGTGATTCCCTGACGTAGTTGCTTTTGCAAGTCTCCCTGACCCAATCGCAAAACCCCAAACCCTGTAGAGCCCCCTTTCCAACGCTGGAAGGCCGGCGGTTACGGATTCGCCCTCCTCGAGCGTCGGGTGAAGGCACAGGACGTGTGGTTTTGGGGTTCTCGCGTGCGGAGCTTTGAGAAGCCCTAAACCTTAAACGAAAAGGCCTGAACCCTAAACAAAATCCCTAAAGGCCCTAAACCCTAAACAAAAAAACTTAAACCTTAAACAAAGGCCCTAAACCCTAACCAAAAAGCCCTAAACCCAAGTGGAAACCAAACCATCAGACTGTGACCTGACTTCCCGAGCCTGAGACCCCAACCGCAGTGCCCCGTAGGCAAGTTTTCATGCCGATTTCGCCTGCGGTTTAGGGATTAGAGTTTCGGGTTTGGCGTTTGGTTACCTACAAGTAGAGAAGCCAACACCTCTTAACTCTTTCCCGGGGATAGAACAGACAATCCTCTGCAAAGACCTTGCAGCATGAAGGATCTTGGACTCCCAGAGCTTTAAAACCTGAAAACCTCTACCGTAGGGTCGGAATCCTTGCAGGCATAATACCCCTTTGAAGTCCATAATATGAATGAAGAACAGCATACCACGAAACTCTGTTACCCCTCAAGCGAAGGTGCGTAACCCCTGGGGCGAGTGGACGCGCCGCGAGCAGGATGAGCTGCTGGCGCAGCTAGGCGCTGCAGTCGTCCCAGATGAGGGCAGCTTTTGGATGAGCCTTGGATTTAAGATAGGGCCTTAAATAATTACCAATACTGTTTTGGGGGTTCCTTATTGTAGCTATAGCATGATGGGCCCAAAAAGCTTATTCTAATTATTATAAGGACCCTATAATATATTGTTTTTTCTGTTCGCGGTTGGAGGGGGACGGGAAGTGGGGTCTCGGAGTCTTTGATTACAGGTTTCTGTAGTTAAAGGCCAGCCTGGCCACGGGTGTAGGTTGTGATTGTAGTTCCAATCCAGATTCCGACTAGTTGATTCAGAGCTGGTCCGGAGTCCCGTGGAACGGGTTACGGTTATAGATTGTCTCCACTGCTAAACACTATACATAAACCCCAAACCCCAAACGTTAAGCCCTACACCCTAAATGAACCTCGAATTATTGGCCCCGAAGGAACTACGGGGACTTCATTCGAGGCTTTGCCGTCGCCGACATCTGCTATGCCAGAGATGGCTGGCACCTTAGTGGTGTCTTTAAGGGAAATATGAGGCCGACGAGAAGACACTACTGTAGATCCGACCTTCAAACGGAAGGCATGCTTCGGTTTGCTTAGCTTGGCTGTGCGCTATACTCACACAAGGTCTTCTGTGGGACAGGGTTTTTGTTAGAGGGCTTTCTGCAGGCTTGTCCTGGTTTGGCTTTGCTTTGTTTGGCTTGTTGCCTTAAAATTTAGTCTTGCACTGAGTCTTCCGTTGCAGAGGGCTTTCTGTTAGAGAGGATGTTCTAAAACACAGGGTTTTCTGGTCTTCTGTTGGACTGGTACAGATGGTTTTTTGTCAGAAATGGTTTCGTGTTGAAGACATATCCTTTTCCGCCTTTTTTCTAGCCCGTGGGCAACGCTTTTAAGCGGTCCGAGCCCTCCGCGTCCTCACAAAGCCTCCGCACGAGCACCGGCATTAGTATTATTGATATTTCTATTCGTAGCAGTACTGGTAATTATTCTATTTACGAGAAGTTTCAACATTGTTCTTCATCTTCTCATGTCTTTTGTTATGACGAGGCTGGCATGCCCGCAGCTTCGACGCCGAGTTCGGAGGGTCAGTCGGCTGCCGCAGTGCGCTGCAGCTTCGGGGCAGCGGGGAGCGTCCTGGCTCTTGTTCGTGAAGTAGTCTAACAGAATAAGGAATGTATCTTGTATTCCTTTGTGTTATAGTAAATTCAAGCAAGAGCCCAGGTGTTGGGTCATGGCGATCCAGCCCACGGAACGGGGAAAGCAGGTAAAGAAACCGCCCGGCTACTACCTGAACGACCTCTCCTTGCTGATCTTCCAAGAGACCCAGCGGGAGCCAAAGTTGGTGACAGCCGCGATTGGGGGGGCTCGTCGTGATGTGGTGAGCTCTGTGGTGCTGGAGGCAGGCAAGACCTACACAGTGGTTCCTCTGAGTTTCCGTGGAAGCTCCAGTCGCGGATCTTTCGTCTTGCGGCTCTACAGCGCTTCGCCGGTGCAAGTTCGTGAAGAGCCGCCCTCGCCCGAGCGCACCTGGGCGGCTTTCCACCGGCTGCTTTTGTCCCCGGAGCCCCCACCCCGAACCCTCCGCCGGGCCCAGGATTTCGGGGTGGGTCGCCTCGTGGTTTTGGAGGGACCGGCCATGGCTGTTGGCCTCTTCGTGAACTTCGGGCCCGTGGGGTTCCTGGCGGACCTGAAGGCCTTCGGGAACCACGCGGCCCTGCGGACGTTGCAGGGGATTCAGGAGGGCACCAGGGACGAGCATCGGAACCAGCAAGATGCCAAGAGACAGGCCTCATCCTCAGAGAAGAGGAAGGCGAAGGCGGATTGGCGGCAACATCACCTCCAAGTCCACGTGCCCGGTTTCGCACAGCTCCTGGCCTTTGTGGCCGTGGCCTTGCTGGAGAAGGACTGGGAGTTTTCCCTGGAATCCCTGGATGCAGAGCAGCTGCTCGATGACTCCCTGGAGAAGCCGCCTCCGTCGACCCATCCCTTCGCACCCGTTGTGCTAGAAAAGCGCCTCGGGGCCGCCGATGGATCCGATGGCCTCCAGGAGCTTCCCAGAGATCCGAATACCCCCTAATTAAGGAAAAAAGAATCCCATAATAAGTTTAAGGTACCCTAAACCCTAAACCCTAAACCCCAAACCCTAAACCCTAAACCCTAAAACCCTAAACCCTAAACCCTAAACCCTAAAACCCTAAACCCTAAACCCTAAACCCTAAACCCTAAACTCAAGGCCTAGGCCGCCCACCTTCGATGGTGTAAGCCCCTCGACATCGATGGCGCAGGTCGATCCAGGACGCTCGCCCACCGTCCCACAGCCAGGGGTACTGTAGCACCCACGTTAGGCCCGGTACCGGGACGGGTTCTCCCCGGGACCAGTACTGGTCCCTATTAAAGTCCCCTAAACCCGGCCCGAAATCCTGCTGGTTTGGCCACCCCCAAAAAGGGACCCCCCGGGGGGGGGCTTGGAAGCTCCAGCGAGCAAAGTTCCGGGACCTAGGGGCCTCCTGGCCGGTCCTAGGGGGGACTTGGGACAAAAACTGTTTTTTTGCCGTTTTTCTGCCTTTTGCGGCCCCTGGCCCTGCCCCCCCTCTGGCCCCTCTTGGTCCTCCCCACTGCGAAGCCGGACCGGGAGCAGCTGCTGCGCATATTCCGCGGACACCGGGCCATGCCGGATCGTGGGCCCGGCGTTAGTCCCGAACCCACCATCACACGCCGCTGCGCCGCCTGTCTGAACGACTTGGCCGTGCAAGCTCTCTACGCCGACGCGGCCCCGCTTTGCTATGTGCCCGGCGATTACGAGAGTAACATCGACAACTACGATGGTGCCGGCCAGCTGGTGGACTGCGAGCCTCTGCAGGTTCCCATTTACCCGGGCATGCGGGTCACCCTCACCCGCAATCTGCAGAAGGAGCAGAACTTCGTGAACGGGATGAGCTGCACGGTACTGGGCATGCAGCGTAATTCCGTGTTGGTCCGAACACAGTGCGGCAACGTGCTGTCCGTCTTCCCCTACACCGACGACGAGATCATCGTTCAGGGACAGCCCCGACGGGCCACATACTTGCCTTTGCGCCTGGGCTACGCGGTCACTCTCATGAAGGTCCAAGGTGCCACATTACAGCATATCACCTTGTGGCTGGATGTCCCGAATGTCGAGGCTGCCGCCTACGTGGCACTGTCCCGGGTGCAGCATGACAAGGATTGGCGCTTTCTCGGCCACCTGACGCGACACCATTTCACGCCTGCTTCTGGCGTCTGAGCCGTAGGGCGTTCGAGTTGCCTTGAATATGCTTGCACAACAATGACATGCTGACGCTTTGGAGGGAGCTAGGGACGGCTTGGGCTGTAGCAATTGTATTTGCGTCTCGCGTCCGCGCCAGCCAGCGCGCGGTCGCGGCCGGAGTTGGTCTGGAATGCGCCGAAAAGAAATCTGAGCAACTGCCGGGCTGTAAGCTTCCAGAGAGCGCCAGGGAAAGCTTTGGTCGGAGTTCCTGTCATGCCGAGTCTTAGAACCTCGCTTGCCGTTCTCGCCGCAGCCATTTTTTTGCCCCATACCGCCCTGAATGTTATGGAAACCCCGTCTTGCTTGTTGCTTTCTCACGCATATTTCCGAGAGCAGACGCTTGGCTGCAGAATAGTGTGTTATTGTTAACCAAAATGGACCTAACAGAGTTTAGGTCCTAAACCCTAAAAGGTATAGGTTTGGGCGGTTTGCCGCCTCGGACGGCGTGGGATGGGTGAGTTATGTGATGGCCCGCCACAGTCCGGCCATGGCTGCGACTCGCAAGCAACCAAACGGCTAATAAATCTTGCAATCCGTGTTAGACTACCGCTACGCAATCTTGCAGCAAACCCTAAACCCCAAACCCTAAACCCTAAACCCTAAACCCTAAACCCTAAAACCCTAAACCCTAAACCCTAAACCCCTAACCTCCAGGAGCTCGAGGACTTGGAGCTGCAGGCGGCCCTGCGCGAGAGCGCTCTGCTGGCCGCGGCGCAGTCCCAGTCGGGCCAGGACCAATATAGTATAATATAGTATAATATAGTATGATATAGTATGATATAGCAATTATAGTATGGTATGGTATAACATAACTTAATATCGTATAATATAGTATGATATGGTATAGTATAGTATAATAAAGCTTGATATGGTAGCATATAGAATCATATCTTCAGGAGCCCGGTCCGAACGACAGCGACTCAGACCCCGAGCTGCAGTTGGCCCTGAGCATGTCGCTTGCGGACGGCCAGGCCGTGACCGAGGCACCAAAGCCGGAGAAGGCTCCTGCTGGGGGCAGCTGCCCTGCACACGTGCCTGCGGAGGACCCACCCCGACGTACGGGACGCTGGATGCGACGAAGCAGGCAAACATAGGAGCAGCGCCGAGGTGGCCTTCTGTTGGACACGCCGCTGTGGGGGTGAACGCTGTCCCAACCACCTGAACTGTCTGCATCCGTACAGCTGTATCTTGCGATACTCCGCCATTGCACAGGGTATGCAGAGACTGGCACGACAACGTGGTGAAGTGCTGAGTCGGTCTATGAGTTCGGCAGAAGTGATCTCGACTTCCTCTAAGTTGCTGGAGGCTGCAGGTCCCTGGGCCCCACGAGGCCTGAAAGCATCCCGCTTTTGTGCGGAGACGTCCTGAAGAAGTGGGATGTCCTCTAAGCTCCTCTTGGAGTTTCCGAAAATGGGGAACCCTATTTCAAGTACCCTAACTAGTAGGATACCGATTACAAGGACCCCAAAATGAAAAGGTACCCCTAACCCTAATTTTCGGAAGCTCCCATCTGGGGTTACAATGTGCTTCCCAAGGGCATCCCCGATGCCGAAACTCCCAAACTCAAGTTCTCTGTCTGGTTCTTAGTCGGGAATGTGGGAATGGATCCCTGTGATAGTCCCTTAAGGATCCCTTATAGCAGTCCCTAGGATCCCTTACAGCAGTCCCTAGGATCCCTTATAGTAGTCCCTAGGATCCCTTATAGCAGTCCCTAGGATCCCTTATAGCAGTCCGTCCCTAGGATCCCTTATAGTAGTCCCTCGGATCCCTTATAGTAGTCCCTAGGATCCCTTATAGTAGTCCCTAGAACCCATTCCTCCATTCCCTACTAAGAACCAGACAGAACTCTTGTGAGCCTGGACGAGATGCCTCGGTAAGCAACAGAGGCTATCCAAGAGCATCATGAGGAAGCAAGAACGACAGAGCTCCAGCGCCGATATCCTGATCCCCTAGCAGGTTTTGTATAGTTTTTCTGGCGTGTTATGGGGTCCACCCCCCGGCAAACGGAGATTGCTCCCCTTTTTATGCTCCATTCTTCTGTCTTTCTACCCCAACATTTCCCCCACAATTCCCAGGAACCCCTTGCAGGAACCCCTTGTCGGAACCCTTGTAGGGTCGTATCTATCAGCCCGTATAGGAACCCTTGAAGCAGAGCTCTGATAATCTGGGAACGCTTCAGGGTTGAGTGTTCAGGGCTCCAGGGTTCGGGTTTAGGGTTTAGGGTTTAGGGTTCAGTGTTCAGGGCTCTAGGGTTTGGGTTAAGGGTTTAGGGTTTAGGGTTGAGGGAGAAAGCACAAACGTAAGACTGCTACTGCTGAAGGAGCGCTATCAGGAAAGCAACAGTGATGAAGATGACAAAAGCAGTAGTACTACATCGTACCACTCGTACCACTACTGCAACAGCTGCTGCTGCGCCTAGCAATACTGCTACTGCCACTACTGCTACTGCTATTGCTGCTGTTACCACTCGTCTTTGTGACAACTGCTGGTACTGTCTTTGTGCAATAGTTTCGCCGAGACTCCAATATCCCTTAGTTACGGAATCTACCTTCAACTATAGTAGGATCCTTGACATGGTTTAAAGAGGTGTATTCCTTAATTGAGGGATATTGGAATCCCCTAAACCCTATAGATCCCTTTAAGGAACCCTATAGATCCCTTTAAGGAACCCCAAGGTATATGCCTTAATTGAGGGGACCTGGGAGTCTCCGAGTTCGGAGCCTCTGCTTGGAGGGTCGGGGGACTTAGTAGCTGGGTTATTTTAGGGACTTATAAGTACCATAAGCCCCAATTAAGGTCCCTTTTAGGGTACTTATAAGTCTACTTACTACTTACTAAGTCCCCCGACCCCTAAACCCTAACTACCCTTATAGAGCCCTTTAAAGGAACCCTTAGAATCCCCTTTAAGGGAGCCCTTACTAAGTCCCCCGACTCCCCAAGTGGGCAGAGGCTCTCCGGCTCTTGGCGGAAGAGCGCCGGGAGCGGATGAACGACCGCGCGGAGGCGGCGCGCCGGCACAAGGCCGCGGGGGGAGCCAGGGGCTGAAAAAGGCTTCAGGATTTCGAGGTTCCCAAAGATCCGAACACCCCTTAATGAAGGAATATACCTTAAGTCATAATATTAGGGCCCTATAGTTTAAGGTATATTCCTCAATTACGGGGTATTGGATTCTCTGAGTTTGGGGTGTAGGATTTGAACATCGGGGTCTGAATAATGACCGTTTGTATTCCTGCAATCTTGTTGCTCAGGGTTCCTAGTCAATGAATAGAATAGAAGCTCCTAAAACCCGTGGCGTCTGGTCATTCAGGCTTCTATTGTAGAGGTTAATGGTAAACGGGCGGAAGATCCACACTTGTGGGACTTTACTTCCTTTCGGGGGCCGGGTGGGGGGGGGGGTGTGAATCAACTGTCGAGCATGCGGCTGGCCAAAAAAACTATAAACACATCAACACTACTTTCAGTCTGAGGCCTCATGGAGTTGTTGGGGCCGACGCGTATTTCAGAGTCCGAGAGACAAACCTGGGTGAAGTCTGCCCCTGCGGCATCCTGAACGTATGCCGTGCAGAGGGTAAGTCCAACACTCAGAGCTCCAAGGCCTAAACCCTGATGGTGGGAAGTCTAAAGCCTGTATCATAAAGTTTAGAAGCCACCCTCCAGCCCGAAATTCTCAAAAACGCCAGACATCACAGCCACGGAGGACCTCGAGACGTGGACGGAGGATCGGCTCCGGAGTGTGGAGACACTGGCCAATGAGTCGTCAGGTGGCCCAGGTGAAACTCCAGCCTGTTGACGCTTTAGGCTTTGGGGCTTTGGGGTGCTAGGGAGGCGGGTTTCGGGTCTGAGGTTGCAGAATTCTTTGACGAATAGTCTTAGGGTGTTTGACGGGCAGTTGCAAGGTGCTTTAAACACAAGGTGGATCAGTTTTAGTTTGTGATAGCAACCAGCCTCGGCCCCAAGCGCAAGCACTGGTGAACTTGATGAGGGATTCGGGTTGAAGCATCGTATTGTCACATTGTTCTTCTCCTTAATCTTCTGAATGGTCTTATTCTTGTTCTTTAGCATATTAATCTAAACGCTTCGCGTCGTCCGCCTCGGCCCAGCCGTGCTTCGAGCTGGAGCTGGTTGTCGAACGTGAAAGTTGCCTTGCGGAAGAAAACCGCGAGGCGAGAAGCTTCAGGCGCATGCAAGCGCGGTCGTGAGCAAGGGGGGGGGCATGGGGGGGGGGGGGGGGGGGGGGGGGGGCCGTCCGGGTTGTGGGGTTGTGATATGGACTTGTGCGCTGAGGTTTCGGGTGCAGGTCTTGGGTGCCGAAGCGACGCAGCCAAGATAAGAAGTGGCCCAAGAACTAAGTGCATCCACGCCCTTGACCCAAGCTTGCAACACAGACATCAAGGCTTCGACCATCTGCTTTGTTCACTACTCATTAAATATCTTCAAGCCTTAAACTCCCCAAATCTTAGATGTAGCCTCGATCTTGCTGAGGCGGGAAAGCACGGCCGAGATGAAGGCATCGGTTCACGAGGATGGGCACGTGGGTGCTATTCTGTCTTGCCTTGTCACCATTCTGCTGCTTTGCCTTGCAATTGCAATCGCCACCTCCGTCATCGGCTTTGTCTTCGTCATGGTTGTTGTCATCCTGCTTCTGGTCTAGTCCTCGCCCTCGTTCTCGCCATCGCGTTTGCTGCCGCAGCGCTGTCAACGGCGTCCGTGTCATCATAGTCATAGTCGTCATCATCATCGTCATCCTCACCATCGAGCATCACCATCATCATCGTCGTCGCCCTCATCATCATCACCGTCATCGTCATGGGTAATGCAGGATTTATATCATCAACCGCTCTCTCTGCAGTCTAAGCCGCCCGGGCCTTCAGACTCATGGCTCCTTCAGGCTACAGCCTGTCACCCTTGCCCCTACGGCCCGCAACCCTGAACGTCAGACCCTAAGCCCCTGATCCTACAGCCTAAACCCTGAACCCTAGTAGACACTAAACCCAAAACCCTAAACCCTGAACCCTAGACACTAACGAGATCGCAACCCATCGTCGTAGCCCTAGTTGCAAGCCCCTGTGTGTCACCCTGTACCAACCGTTCCTAACTCCCTCTAAAGCACCACAAAACACAGAATCAACACTGTAGACACCTCCAGAAAACCTGGTTAAAACAGATGCAAAAAAGTCCAAAACCATAATGTAAGGAACCCCTTAGAGCTCTCAGGCCCCTAACCCAAAACCCTAGACCCTAAACCCTAAGCACCCTACCTCTTAAACCCTAAACCCCTAAAAATCCTAAACCCTAAGCCCGAAACCCTCAGCCCTAAGCCCTAAGTTTGAAACTCTAAACCCTAAGCCCCAAACCCCTAAACCTTAAACCCCTGGATCCTAAGCCCTAAACCCCAAGAACCCTTAAACTCCGAAACCCCAAAAACTCCGAAACCTCAGGCGCTGCAGATGGGAGATCTCTCCGAGCTCGGACCCCGGAGTCCCGGCTTCCCGGAGAGCCCTCAGAGCCAGTTTGCGCGGGGGTCGGAGGAAGATGTTTTAGGTGTTTCTAAGGTCAAAAGGGGTGCGTGCAGGCAGGTTCATGGGGATTTTGTGGGGGCCTTATAGGGGTTTACATGATTTTATAAGGGTTTTAGAAGGGTTTAGGAGTAATTGGTAACTAAGTATTGAGTGTGTTGACATCCCCTTAAAACTGTTAAGGCCATGCACTAGTCAAGAAATTATTAAACAGATTCTTTCCAATACAAGCCCAATTCCTTCAATGAAGGAGTGTCTGGCTTTCGGGGTTACTGTAAGGGTCATGCGATTTAGGGTTTCCGTGTTTATGGTTCAGGTTTTTGCTTCGGTCCGGTGCGCTGGACGAGGAAGCTTCAGAAGCCGGCCCGCTAACAACTAGCAGAAGCGCTCTCGCGCATGGGCCGGAGCCTTGTAGGGTTTCAGATTTGGGGCATTTAGGGTTTCATGCAGCACCCTCAACACCCACGAGTTTTTCGGGGTTTGGGCTGCCTTGACGGTAACCAATTCAGCAATAGCCGGTCATCAGGACCACAGACGGAGCATGACCTGCAAGAGCAGGCTCCCCAAATTCCTCAATCGATCTTCCTTCCCTTTGGACCCGAATCTCCCAAGCGCCGAAGCCCCTGAACTCTCGCGCGTAGAGCATTGAAGCCTCAGACTCGAAGCGGTGAAACCTGAATCCCATACCCCAAACCCTGAACCCGAAATCCTAAACCCCAAATCCTAAGCATACCAAAACCACGTACCAACTCTCTTCCGACTCCCCGGGCCGCTCTCTTGGCAACCTTGTGCAAGTTTCATAAAGACCAAGCATGAACCCTAGAAGAGCCTTATACAGCCTTACAGCCATCCTTGGAAGCCTACAGTTGCCCTATAGACGCCACATAAACACCCTTCGCCACAACCCCTACACCCTAAACCCTAAAAAACAGCTTAAACCCCGAAGCCTAAACCCTAAACTCCAAAAACAAGCTTAAACCCTGAACCCTAAACCCTCAAAAAGCCCCAACCGAGCCCAGCCGCAGCCGAGGAGCCCACCGGCAAGCCGCGGCCTTCAGAGTGAGCAGAAGATCCGGGAGGCAGTTGGTTTTTACTTGGAGGTTCATGGGTAGTTATAAGGGGTTCCTTTAAGGCTCCCTTTAAGGGATCTATAGGGGCTCCAGAAGGGTACAGGGTTTAGGGTCTACTTGGACCGGAGGTTCACGGGTAGTTATAAGTAGGGTTTATAAGTAGGGTAACTGTACTTATAACCCATATTAGGGGACATATAACCCTACTTATAACTATCCATGAACCTCCTCCAAGTAGTTCTTTTGGGGTTCAACTGTGGCCCAAAAGATCTACCTGTTTAGCCTAACTTTTCAAGGAAGTGTAGATAGAAACCATAATAAGGAACTCCGAAAACGGTACGTCTTTTCGGCTACAGCTAAAGTTTAGCGCTTTGTCAGTGGTTGCTGTTGTGGTTGCTGCATGCATTACTGGAAGGGTGGTGCGTTTAGGGCTTTGGCGGCTTTGGGTTTCGGATGGTTGGTTGTCAAAATTATGGTCCCTTTTTGGGTCCCTATTGTAATACGGCACCTATTATTTGGGGTGGACCTTAGTTTTGACAACCGCCCGGATATAGAGGTCAGGGTTTCGGGGTTTAGGGCTTCTTTAAACTGAGGTCCCTTTACCGTCCTTGTTATGAGAGTGCTCTGCTGTCTTGGGATCCAAGCAGGGGCAACGATCTACAGTGGGGGCTTGGGGCTTGTTTTGATTTTGGAATGGGCTACGGCTATTGGTAACTGAGGTTTAAAAGTGCAAGGTTGGGGTGTGGGGGTATAGGAAATGACTTATTGTCTTGTCGTATCAGCATGCAGCATGTAAGCTTCCAGATCTGCACATCACAACTTCTCGTTGCTAAACCTTACGGAAGGAGGCGCTTGCCGGATCTGCCTGCCACACCTCAGAGGCCTTAAGTCCTGCGATTTGTGCAGCCCCGCTGTCTTCATGACCCCAAGCCCTCAGAACTAGATCCTGTAAGCTACTCTAAGCCACGGCTCAAAGCCTTCAGCCTGAAGCAACAAGCCTCGGCTCCTATTGGTCAAAGCTTAGATCGAGCTGCCCCTGGCGTCTTGCTCAAGGTAGTTCAGGCGGTGCCCGCTTTTTGTGATCCCTTGACGTAGCAGCCATGGACGTCGACTACGATGACGAGGTGGCCGAGGACCGCCGGCCTCCCCGAGTCGCAGCAGTGGCGGTACTTAAGAATCGTCGTCGTTGCAGCAGTAGTAGCAACCACAGCAGCAGCAGGAGGAGAGGAGGAGGAGCTGCAGCAGCAGCCGGCAGTGGCGAGCAGCAGCAGTAGCACAAGCAGTAGGAGCAAGGAGCAGCATCAACAGCTCTTCGTCTTCTTCATCGTCCTCTTCCTCGTCGTAGTTGCGTCCTCCTGCTCCTTAATATAGTACTGTGCGTTTGAATTCATTTAGAAGGTGCTCTTCGGGGTCTGGCCGTCTGCGTCTCTTCGTTGTTCTCGTCGTGCTCGTGGTTGGTGAGATGGCGGCATGTGGGACCCTGAGGCACGTGATGAAGCTTTTATCCCGCACCTGCGCCAGTCCCTTTCTTTGTTGAGTCTGGGGTTCTTTCCTGTTTAATGTAACTGCTCTGTCCCTGAAACCCCGAACCCGAATCCTCGTGTCGAATGTGTCAGGAGGGCCGCCCAGCTGGACGACGGATCAAGGCACATCTCAGCCCTCTTGAGGTGGTGGGGGTTACTGAAGCTGTCAGTATCCATAAGAAGAAATACATTAGATCCTTGATCTTCGTCTGATTGTTAGAATATCCACGAGTGTAAGCCGGTGCAATAAAGCTTTTTCGACCTCTGACCTCACCCAAGATGGACGCAAGAAGCCCAAACCTCAGCTTCCCGAAGCTCCAAACCTTAAACCGAACCCCTAACCCCCACAACCCTAAACCCAAACCCCAAAGCCCAAAGCCCTAAACTCAGCTCCTCACTTAGAGGCCCAGGCGACTTAGTAAGTAGATTATAAGTAGGGTTATAATTGGGGTAACCTACTTACAAAGTTTTATGGGCCTCTAAGCACAAGCCCTGGAACCCAGTCTATCACAATTTGAGCATAACCACTAATTATGAAAATAATGCCAGCATGATATCAATATAGTATTTGTGTATTATTGATAGAATACTAATATAGTATGAATACAGTATGACATGAATACAATATAACAGCAATATTACAAGATTTCTAGACTTCCAACGGTCAAAGTCCCGAACGCTGAACCAAAGCCCGAACACACTCAATAGGGCGCCCATGATCTCCACTGCGAAGTCCAACAGAGACCCACGCCAAGGAATGAAGTTTTAACATTTGATCGAACGCCTTTTCGTACTCTAAATTCTCCGAACCCGGAAATCATCATTCACATCGTTCACTATGCACGTTGTAACCTTGCAAGGGGATGGCGCCTATAGAACCCTATAGTACCTTTCAAAGGGAACCCCATACTGTTGATGGACAAGATCCTGCATGACCCTAAGGACTCTAAACTATGGGAATTATGGTATATTCCTTATTCTGGGTAATGCAGGATTTTGTCCATCCCTAAACCCTAAACCCTAAACCACTAAAAGTACCTTCGTCGCCTTGAAGGGACGTGGGGGCGAGGATGATGATCGCTATGCCGGCAAGGCGCCGGTAGTTGTCCAAGGGTAGAAGGAGGGACCCTTAATAAGGACCCCTAGGCATATACCCTTAAGGGTTTAGGGTTTAGGGTTTAGAATTAGGGTTTAGGGTTTAGGATAAGGACCCCTAGGTATATACCCTTAAGGGTTTAGGGTTTAGGGTTTAGGATAAGGACCCCTAGGTATATACCCTTAATATAGCTATTATATACCCATTATATGGCCCATTATAGGTAGGGGTCCCCATTAAGGGTCCCTCCTTTCCCCCTTTGAGGTTGGAATCCACATCATGTTAAGATGCAAGAGATTTGAAGGTCTGCCCAGCCCTAAGCCTAAACCAAGGCATGACCCCTAACTCCGAAACGTTCAACCACCAGCCACCGTAAAACCCCAAAGCCCACCTGCACCTACCAGAACCTACTGTTTTTAGGCTTGGTAGAGTTGCCTCTCCGGTTCATACGGTCGATGATGCATTACCCATAATGATGAATGTGCCATAATTCCCACAATCTAGGGTCATAAAGGTAATGCAGGATTTATATCATCAACCGTAAATGGAGGCCCAAGCCCTGGAGTCTTGCCAAGGCTCCCGGATGCCCCAAAGCCCAAAGCCCTAAGGCCCCGGACATGCCCTTAAACCGGCGCTACAGTGGACCTAACACCCAAATCTTTCGCGAGCTTTGAAGGAGGTCCCAAACCTCCTAAGGCCCACCGTCAGCTGAGCCGCAGCGGTTCTTAAGGTGACTTCAGTGAGCCTCACAAGCTTGATCCGTACTTCTCACAAACCGTTAAGCCCATCTATGGTCATGTGAAACCGTGGAGCTTTGGATATACATTCCGTATGGGTCGAACTTGGGGGCTCTGTGACTTGCGAGGCTGGTAAGTTCGAAAGGCTGGACGACGACGATGTGCTGGCCCCAGCTGGAGATTCGAAGTGCGAAGCCCTACACTTCGCAAGACCCGACACCCGCAACCTAAACTAGCGAATGTACAAATTTTTGAAAAGGGGTATGACCCTAAACAGTTTGCACTTTTTGAGGACCAGCTCTGGGAAATTCTTTCAGTTGGGGGTCGGTTTTAGGGTCCTTTTGAGACTTTGAGCTTACTTTAGAGACTCCCTACCGCCCCCAAAAGAAGGAGAGCCTGAGCAAGAGTTTTGGAGAAAGCAAAACATCCGCGACTTCGATGTTCAAGGTTTAGGCGACCGCGGCCGTTAACTGGCGCGTCTCCTAAGGCAGGGCCCTCATAACGTGACGATCGAGGTCTTGAGAGACATCGCCAGAAGCCACAATCACCCTCCTCGGATGCTGCGCAAGGCTCTGCAGTGCCGTTTGGGAGCCCTTTTTCTGGCTTTCCTTGGCCTCAGCTGCTTAGAGGAGGCCTTCGTGGCAAAAGTCTTCTTCAACACCTCGGGGCGCCTTGAGAGGGGCTCGCTTTCGGATACCTCGGAGGCTCCGCGCTGTCTGGTGCCCGTGTACCAGGGCCTCTGCCTGGTGCGGAAGGCCCCTTCTTCCGACTTATTAGAGCCGGTGCTTCTCTCAGAGGCCCCGGGGAAGGAGAGCTCCGAAAGCTCAAAGACCCAGTTTCTGGCCTCTTTGGGCCGGCCTGCCTCCGGGCCTCTGCTGGAGTTGCAGCAGAGGACCTTGGAGAAAGGAGGAGCCGGCGGAGCGAGCGGAGCGGGATTCTGGTTGCTGGACCTCTCAGCTTCGCCGGAGCCTCCGAAGGGAAGCGATTTGGGCGCGGAAGGCGAATGGAGCAAACTGCGCTCTCGTAGTGGCCCCTCAGTCATGGATGCTTTAGCCGCGGATGACTACGCAGCGCTGCTGTCCACCGCAGTGGGGCTATCGGAGTGGCACCGGTCCGTGCCATTCTGCGCCAAGTGCGGCGGCAGGACCTGACCTGTTTCGGGAGATGCAGGTCTGTATGTACATGTGAGCACGATTGTCATAAAGGCTTCTACTCTACTCATAAAGGGAGGAAGCGGCTCATATCCTCAGCCGCCCCAGTAGGTGGAGTGTCGTGACCTTTGACGAACCTTGGCCTGCACCTCCCCCTTCCCGACAATCTCAGCTGCCCTCCACCGCTCAAGAAGTGCCCATGTTCACAGCAAGATTGGGAGTTCCGGAAGACGGGGGGGCCTCCGTCTACTTCTGAAAGCATGTATGCATGGATGGATGGATCGATGTACGCATGTATTAGGTTCTATTATACTGTATAGTAACTCATTATACTGTATTGTAGTCTGTTGTATTGTATTGTCTTGGTGGTTATATTACAGTGTAGTGTATCCTACTGTATGATATAACATACTAAGGCAAAAAGCATAAAGTAACTTGAAGTAGTGTAATACAATGCTAAGCCCCACCGAATTGGCTGCTTTGTCTCTCGCAGAAGGACTGCTCCCTTCCGAGCTGGCCTCAATCGACGCTGCGAGGCCGGCCTTCAGGGTGCTTGGAGGGTCGGGGACTTAGTAACTGGTCATTTGAGGGACTCATAAGTACCATAACCCCAATTAGGGTCCCTTTTAGGGTACTTATAAGTCTTCTTACTAACTACTTACTATGTCCCCCGACCCCCGAAGTGCAGTCCAAGGGGCCTCAGATTGCGCAAGTTGCCAAGCATTGCTCATAGAGCGACTTTTTCTTTGTCTATCTGTCTATTGTTTAGTAGTTGCATGCATATATGCGTTTGCAGCAGATAAGACTCTATAAAATCCTTGCCTATGGTGAGGTACGAGTCAAGGTAAAGGTATGCATGCATGCACATATATTTATGTATGTATGTATGTATGTGTGTATGTATGCCGTCGGGACATACCTTTGCATAGTTTTAGCAGTGCTATATGCCCAAACTTGTAGTGGTTGCTGCGGGTGCTGGGCGGGGAGGTGCCTGACAAGCCCTGGTTACCCTAGCTATGCAAACAGTGCTATGAGTTCAGCATAGGCACTTCTTAAAATCGAGCTTGTCAATACTGCAAAAAGTATGTTCCATTTACATTTTTGTCTTTATTAATGCCATAGCTAATAGTAGGTTACTATATGAATGTTGCAATACATGTATCACTTGTTCGCGTGTTTCAAAATAGATTTTTGTTACTCTTTTTTAAATATTTTCATTATAGATTCCTTCTTCTGTTTTGTACTGAAGATATCGTATATTAAGTTGTGTTTCCCGTAATACATTATTCAACCCTTGTGTGTTTGTTATGTATATACACACAATCTGCTTTGATATATTAAAATACAGTGGAGTTTATGATTATATATTATGTTATACTGTACTATGACATCTTGTATTATATTACATTACATGTTGCCATGGCATAGTATGGTGTACTGCATCATATCATGTTATGCTATGTTATATTGGAGTACATGAAACCATATTATCTTATGCTTTCGTGTGTTATATTATTAGCTATCGATCTACCTACCTACTGTCGGTCTATCTGCCTATCTATCTGTTTGTCTATCTATGTATCTACTATGCTTTAAACAGAATGGTTCATTATGCCATGCGTCTTATTTCTTTCTGTGAAACCTGGATGCTGAATGTTTATGTATATATGCGTATACACGTATACCCACATGTACAGCATGGACTCTCATAGGGCCCATCGTTGATTCTCAACCCTCAGCTACACTCCGCACTAAGCTTTATGCACCCAGAGAACCCAATACCCCTCAATTAAGGAATATACCTTAAATTTACCATAATATTAAGCCCCTTATTATTTGAGGTCTTTCCTGAATTAAGGGGTATTGGGTTCTCTGGGCAGGCCTGTGGTGCCCGCTACCGTCCTCGCCTGGATCCCTCTGTCATTGTCTTGGTGACCCACAAGCGGCTCAGATCATGCCTTTGGTAAGCTCTGCATGTGGGTGGTTGTCAAAATTATGGTTCCTTTTGGTTCCTATTATAATACGGCACCTATTATTTAGGGTACCCAACAAGGGACCTTAATTTTGACAACTACCCATGTAGCTTCGGGATGCTCTGAGTCGACCTTTTTGTACAAGTGTAGGTATCAGATGTCTGATAACCTGCTGAAAAGCTGGGGCTTTGCGTCGGTGCGAAGGTATAGGCTCATAAGGGCCGATCTTCGTCTTCTCCTTGGTGTTTTCCAGGTTTCTAGTGCATCTGTGGCATGCCGAGACATTTCATGCGCTTTTGGTTTTCAAAGACCCAGGAAGCGATGTTTGCTGGGCCGCAAGGCCGTTTGGCCCCCCGGGCGCTACTCGACTCTGGCTGGCTTTGTGGAGTTCGGCGAGACTTTGGAGGAGTGCGTGGTCCGTGAGGTGCGGGAGGAACCTAAACCCTATACCCTAACCCCTAAACCCTAAAACCCTAAAACCCTAAAACCTAAACCCTAAACCCTAAACCCCCAAACCCGAAACCCTGAGGTGCGGGAGGAGTCGGGGGTTTCGGTGGATCCGAGCAGCATCCGCTTCGTGGCCTCCCAGCCCTGGCTCTTCCCTCGCTCTTTGATGATGGGTTTCTTTGTCGTAGTTGGGTAACAGTTTACATTGAGGGTTCCATAAAAGGATCTATGAGAGTTCTGTAAAGGTTTCATAGTTGGGTAACATTTTACATGTTTATGGGTGCTTAAACCCAATAAGGAATAAAAGTGTACATTTTTAATCCTATCACAACCATGAACTAGGTTTCATCGCGGAGGCATCAGACCCCAGCCTCCAACTCGACGCCGAGGAGCTCGAGGATGTGGGCTGGTTTGACCGTGCCACCCTGCAAGGGGCACTGGCATCGGAGGAGGCATGCGATGGCACCCCTGCCTCCCTAAACGTTCCTTCCCGAGCATCGCTTGCCAACACTTTGATGCGGACATGGCTACGGGACGCGGAGGAGTAAAGAAAGGCCGCGTCTCAACCGTCTCCTGGGCTTTTCTTGCACGTCGCAGATGCATCTCCGTAAGTTGCTCTACAGTGCAGCACTTGAGCCACGTCGCTTCTGAGCCGCGATGCCTGTCCTGTGCATGTCCCTGCCCTGTCGTGCATGCGCCCCGAGGACGAGACGGGTGCGGCTAGATCCATCGAGGGCTGGGTCGTCATTGTGGGCAGCTCAGAAGCCCTCTTTGCTTCGTGCTTCGGGAGAGTTGGGCGGGGGCCTGGGGTGGGCTAGGCTGCTTTTGGAGCATCATTTCGGGAGACCCGGATACCCCAAAACCCTAAACCCTGACCCCTCAGCCCTAAACCCTAAACCCCAAGCCCTAAACCCTGAAACCCTAAACCCCAAACCCTAAGCCCTAAACCCTGTAAACCCCAAACCCCAAGTCCTAATCCTCTGAGCCTTCTCTGCCCTTTCGATGAGGTCTCGGGCGTCCACGAGGAAGCCCAGGAGGTCTCGCCTCCTTTTGGGCTCCGCTAGGGCTTGGCTTTTGGGGTTTGGGGTTTTGGGCTTGAGAGGATAGAGGGGCCTTAATGATTAGACCGGGTTTGTACTAGAGATCATTTTAAGAGTTTCAGGGTTCTGGGTTTAGGGATCCTTAGGGGTTTTGGGCTTGAGGGGGCTTCAACGGTTCGTGTTAGGACGACTTGCCAGTAAAGCTCCCGCCCCAGGCGCGAAGTCGGTCGATGAGCTTTGAGAGCCACAAAATGACACCCACTTACACGCTCATGGGACTTAGTAACTAGGGTTATAATTAAGGTAACTATACTTATAAGTACTTATGACCCCAATTAAGGTACTTATAACCTCACTTACTAAGTCCCAGGATCCTCCAAGCAGGGTTTGGGGGTTAGTTTCAGGGTTGGGAGTTCAGCTGGTAGGCCCATCTGGGTTCTGGAGTAGCATACTTTAATACTTTTTTTGGGGGCCTGTTACTTAAAGGGAACCAATATGACATAGAAGTCTGTACTTTTTTCTCCCCGGTTACTTCAAAGCCCAGCCATGAGCAAGGAGGCTAGCAAAATGTGCCACCCTTTCGACTCGACATCGGGACAATAAAGAGTAGTGACACTAGTAGTAATAGCAACAACAGCAAACCCTAAACCCTAAACCCCAAACCCCAACCCTAAACCCTAAACCCTAAATCCTAAACCCTAAACATAGCAATCCTAGCAAGAATAGTACTAGCCGTACTTTCAGTCATAAGGGCTCGGGCCAAGCTCCTGGTTCAGCCTTTGAGGATGTGGCTTTGGGGTCTGAACCCAGAGAACCCAATACCCCTTAATTAAGAAATATACCTTAAGTAGTAGGGGTCTTAACACAACATGATTTAAGGTATATTCCTCGATTACGGGGTAATGGGATCTCTGAGAATATTTGCGTCTACTTTTTTTGGGGTTCCTTATTCCTTGTCATAATTAGGGTATAACATACCCCAAATCCCTTTTCTAATTATTAAGGCCCCTATACGACAGTGTATGTCCACTGGGAGCTCCAGGACGATATCTTCGAGGCCTTCTCCGAATATGGTGACATCAAGAACCTGTGCGGTGCCCCAGTCGGGGGGGGGGTTCCCGTAAAAAGCTGGGGTTCAGGGTTTAGGGTTTGGGGGTTGGGGGTTGAGGGGTTCAGGGTTTGGGGCTTGGGGTTCAGCAGCTTAGGGTTCAGGGGTCCGGGTTGAGGATTCATAGCTGCTTGTGGTTGCCCTTGTAAGGCTTGGCTTTTTGGGTGCTGCTTGCTCCTTTTGAGGATCACAGTCTCCGCGGAAAAGCTCTCTGGCATCCGAAAGCCGAAAGAGGTTTGTCGCCGATGCCATGTTCCCATGCTCAAGGGCCCTGAGCTCCTTCCTGCTTAGCCAACCCTCAACCCTAAACCCAAGCCGCTCAAGCCCTAGGCTCCACACGCTCAAACCTTTATCAACCCTTTAAAGCCCGCATAGAACCCTATGGATGCTCCGCAGAACCCACGTGCAACACCGTGAAACCTTTACAAAGAATGAAGTCTTGTAGAAGCATGCTAAAGCTCTTCTGAAGATCACCCTACAGCAAGAAGCCGAGGCATCTGAATCTGGACCGTCGCACAGGTTTCGTGAAGGCTTCGGTGGTATTCCTGCAGAGTCGTCTGCGGGGCTTAGGGTTCGCGGACTTTAGGGTTTGGGGTTTAGGCTGTATTCTGCCGTCAGTTCCCAACCCTGGTTCTGGATGCTCCTGCCTTAAGTGTAGCGAAGCCTAGGCCCCGGAGTATGGCAATCTGGAATAAGATTGGGGCCTTAAACCCGCCCTAAACCCTAAACCCCTAAACCCCTAAACCCCTAAACCCCTAAACCCTAAACCCCTAAACCCCCAAAACCCCTAAACCCCTAAACCCCTAAACCCCTAAGCCCCTAAACCCCTAAACCCCTAAGCCCCTAAACCCCTAAACCCCTAAACCCCTAAACCCCCAAAACCCCTAAACCCCCAAAACCCCTAAACCCCTAAACCCCTAAACCCCTAAACCCCTAAACCCCTAAGCCCCTAAACCCCTAAACCCCTAAGCCCCTAAACCCCTAAACCCCTAAACCCCTAAACCCCCAAAACCCCTAAACCCCCAAAACCCCTAAACCCCTAAACCCCTAAACCCCCAAAACCCCTAAACCCCTAAACCCCCAAACCCCTAAACCCCCAAACTCCAAAACGTTTTCATTCTCCGATTGGAAACTTCTGGGTTCAACTGAACGGCAAGCCTCACACCCCGAAACCTCAAGCCGTCAAAAAGCTGCAATTAAGGAATATACCTTAGGGTTCCTTAAAGGGATCTATAGGGTTCCTTAAAGGGATCTATAGGGTTCCTTAAAGGGATCTATAGGGTTTAGGGGATTCTAATATCCCTCAATTTAAGGAATATACCTTAAATCGTATTAAGGGTCCTACTATAGTTTAAGGGATATTCCTTAGTTAGGGGATTTTGGAAGGTCTGGGCCGTCAACCACTCAGCAGTCGACCAACGAACTCGATAACCTAATCTCCAAACTCTAAACTAAACCCTCTAACCCCTAAGCCGAAACCTGAACCCCAAAAACCCAAATCCGAAACACTTAAACAGGAATCCCTCAGCACCAAGCCCTTATCATACAAATTTAAATGGCCGAATAAACCTTGATTCAGCACTACACTCATTTGCAGGAACCGTGTTGGGTTTGTTTTGGGGTGTGTTGAGCCTGCACCGAAGAGTGGCAAAGCCAAGGTGATCAGACCGTCCTTGAACTTTCAGGGCTTGCGATCGGGCTTTCTAGGGTGCTCTATGCGCTTTTGTAGGGCTTGACACACCCACCGAAGCCCTGTTGCGATGTCAGGGCTACGCATTCATCGAGTACGAAAACAAGCAGGAGGCTACCGTCGTGGGTCGAGTTGGAGATCAGTTGAAGTTTTGGGTGTAATAAGTGTAGTACTGGAGTCTGAGTGATTAGTAATGGTGTCCCCTTCTAGTCCCTCTATGAAATTGCGACGGTATACCTCAAAATCCTACCCAAACGACCAAGGCTCTTGCCTTGTGTGGTAGGATTTTTTGGTGGTGTTGGGCTTTCGGTTTATAGCTTGGTGTTTTGGGGTGGTTGTGGCTGGTGATGATTTTAGCTCTGTAGTTCCCTGAGCCCTAAACCCTAAACACTATAGTTCGAAACCTGGTGCCAGTATTGCCACTTGCAGGCATGGCTAAAGATTGGACGCGAAGCAGAGGCGGTACTTCAGGACAAACTGTAGGTCATGGTTAGCAGGAACTGCTGCCAACTCTTGCAGTATATGTTTGAGTGCATGACTGGGCTCCTTATTCCAGGCTAGAATAAAACTTCGGCGTGCTCGCAACAAGCCCCAACTTCCAGACAAGGACCCCAGATCCGCCAAACCCCAAACCCCACATCCCTAAGCCCCCCAGGCAGTACCCCACTTATAACTCTGTTAGAGCAGCCCTTTGTCCCGCCTCTGACCTTGAAAACCTAAACCCCTAAACCCCTAAACCCCTAAACCCCTAAACCCCTAAACCCCTAAACTCCTAAACCCTAAACCCCAAACCCTAAACCCCTAAACCCTAAACCCTAAACCCTAAACCCTATAGATTTGACGCCTTCCGAGGCAGATGCGGCGATCAAGGGCATGGACGGCAACACCCTGCTGGACCTGGGGGGGGTCTTAGGGCTCCCGGGGGGGGGGGGGGGGATTTTAAGTCTGTGGGATCTTAGGTTTAGGGAATTTCAGTTTAGGGTTCGGAGTCCGGAGGTTAGCCGTTGATACGGTTGATGATAGAAATCCTGCATTTCCCAGAATAAGGAATATACCATAATCCCCATAGTTTTGGGCCCCTAAGGTAATGCAGGATTTATATCATCAACCGTAGGGCTCTTTCTTGAGTGATGCCTTCGTCTTGCGGGGTTTCCCATGGGGTTTTCGCAGGGCTTAGAAGCCTCAAAAACCCGAAAGCAGGCTTTTCTCAGGGTCTTTCTGCAGCTTTTGTGTGTTCTGCTTAGTGCCTTGGGTTCTGTCTTGGATTGCAAATGAACTCCCTAGGTCCCTAGCTGGTGCAAAGCTGGAGTCGTTATGATTGTCATTGTTGTTATTCCTATTGTTGTTACTCTTACGAATATTACTTGTCTCGTGATGAAAAAGTGTCATCATTATGACCACTATCAGTATCATTCTTGTTTCCTTATTGTTTTTTGATATTGCACTATGCGCCTACCCTAATTACTTCAACTTTCAAAACTTTGGAACAGCCAGCCAGCAAAGCCCTCACCCTACGCAGCAGGCCTGAAGTGTGCAAAGGGGAATCCAAAAGCCGCCCTTCAGTCCCTACACCATACTCATGCTTCCAATCAATCCTATACCACTAAATCCCCAAACCCTAGACCCCTAGACCCCAAATCCTAAGCCCTATGCAGGTTTTAGGGTTTGTGGTTTAGGGCCGTACCACCCCGAACCCATCCTAAAGCCCAATCCTTGTGCAGGATCACAAGTTGGATGTCAGCTGGGCTTTCGCCAAGCCCGGGAGCAAGCAGAAGCCCCGGTACAGGGGGCTTAGGGTTTAGGGTTTATTTGCTGAACCAGCTGGTATTATTGTCACTATTGCTGCACATACTACTCTTACTTCTTCTACGCCTGCTAGTCCTACTACTCCTACTAGCCCTGCAAGTCTTCCTGCGACTTGTACTTTTCCTGCTTGTTAGTGGTAGTAGTAGCAGTAGTAGTAGTGGTGGTAGTAGTCGTAGTAGTGTAGTAGGAGCAGCAGCAGGAGTAGGAGTAGGAGTAGCAGTTGCAGTAGGAGAAGGAGTAGGGGTAGGGGTGGGGGTAGGAGTAGGGTGTTGTGTGTTGTGTGTTGTGTGTTGTCGGAGTAGGAGTAGGAGTTGAGTAGGAGTAGGAGTGGGAGTAGGAGGAGGAGGAGTAGGAGTGGAGGAGGAGTAGGAGTAGGAGTAGGTGTAGGTGTAGGAGTAGGAGTCGGAGTAGGAGTAGTAGTAGTAGTAGTAGTAGTAGTAGTAGTAGCAGTAGCAGTAGCAGTAGCAGTAGTAGTAGTAGTAGCAGTAGCAGAAGTAGTAGTGGTAGTGGTAGTAGTAGTAGTAGCAGTAGCATTAGCAGTAGCAGTAGCAGTAGCAATTAGCAGTAGCAGTAGCAGTAGCAGTAGCAGTAGCAGAAGTAGTAGTGGTAGTGGTAGTGGTAGTGGTAGTGGTAGTAGCAGTAGCATTAGCAGTAGCAGTAGCAGTAGCAATTAGCAGTAGCAGTAGCAGTAGCAGTAGCAGTAGCAGTAGCAAGTAGCAAGTAGCAAGTAGCAGTAGCAGTAGGAGTAGGAGTAGGAGTAGGAGTAGGAGTAGGAGGAGGAAGAGGAGCAGGAGCAGGAGTAGGAGTAGGAGCAGGAGCAGGAGTAGGAGTAGTAGCATTACTGTTATTATTTTTATTAGTAGCAGTAGCAGTAGCAGTAGCAGTAGCAGTAGGAGTAGCAGTAGGAGTAGGAGTAGGAGTAGGAGTAGGAGTAGGAGTAGGAGTAGGAGTAGTAGTAGTAGTAGTAGTGGTAGTGGTAGTGGTAGTGGTAGTGGTAGTGGCAGTGGCAGTGGTAATAGTAGTAGTAGTAGTAGTAGTAGTAGTAGTAGTAGTAGAAGTAGTAGTAGTAGTAGTAGTAGTAGTAGTAGTAGTAGTAGTAGTAGTAGTGGTGGTCGTAGTAGTAGTAGTAGTAGTAGTAGTAGTAGTAGTAGTAGCAGTAGCAGGAAGACGAGGAGTAATGGTAGAAGTAGCAGTAGCTGTGGCAGTACTAGTGGTAGCAGTGGTGGTGGTAGTGCTAGTAGTGCTGCTGCTGCTGCTCCTGCTACTACTACCACTGCTGCTGCTACCACCACCAATATTTCCAGGACTGCTATCGCTGCTATCATTACTACCAGCATGACCACCGTTACCAGCGTTGCCACTCCTGCCACTGCTAACACCCCTACCACTACTGCCACTGCTACCTCTGCCGCAAGGCCTGTCGCTACTATCACGACTGCCGCTGCTATCACTGCTACCACTAGCGCCACTACTGCCACCATCACCGCTTCTTCCACTACTCTTATTTCTTTTTTTTCGTGCCACTATTCCTACTACAACCACCACAGCGACTACTGCTGCTGCTGCTACCATCTCACTGTTTTCTAGCAGTGCTCCTGTTGAGATGGCGGTTGTGATCGTAGCAGTGTGAGCAATAACAGCCGAAAGAAATACGCATCGAGGACAGCAACGGTAAAAACCTGAGTGAAAGCAGCGGCAGCACACTGCAGTGCTACCATCACCACCAGCACAGCCAGCATTGCCAGCACTGGTTTCAGGCAAGATGCAGACAGTCAATGAATGCAACCAGCGACTGTTTGACGGAAGCCCGAGCCACGTTATTTCGGCTCTTGTTAAGTGCACGGTTGCGGCATTTTGCATCGTGGACCTGAGAGCCTTTTGTGGACACTGCATTGAGCAGCCGACAGAAATCCTTTGCCCAATGCATTGCAATCCCAGAAGTGTTCATAATGGTTTGTTCAGCTCTGGTCCGAGAAAACCTGCGTGAGACTGCCATGTTTCATCGGTCTTGGCTTTCTTGGCTGGAATTCTGCAAGTATTGTCTTCGGGCTTGACGGGGTTTTCGCAGAAATCGTCTGTCTTGTGACCCTGTTTGCGACAGGGCATGCGTCTTGCGGGGCCCGGTGCAAAGAATTCAGTGGCAAGGAAATGAAGGTTTCCCACTCAGGGTGCATGCTTCGGGTACCAAATTTTGATGTCATATGGACATGCTTTCTCACTTGTCCCCAAAAGCAGCTTGAAATGTTTTCGGGGCTTCGGGCTGAAAGCGCAGGACTTGATTGTTGGGCTGCGGGCTCTGCGGATTCACGGCTGATTCCTCGTCCACCCGTGGTAAGGTTCAGAAGCTTGTATGTGCGCAGCACTGAAATGGTTGGTTGTACGAAAATCGCATGTTTGCCCAACGTTTTTTGAAATGGCGATGGTGGGACGGTTCTGTGCTACGTAGAGCAGTGTTGATATTGCTACTGGTGCACTTGCCGATGGTGACTTGTCTTGATCGCGAGCGTGGCTGTGACAGTGATGGCAATGTGTGAGGAGGTTGACGGCGATGCTGTTGAGTGATGTTTGTGATTTCGGGGACGAGCATGATGAGGATAATGATGGTTCGCATGACATGAACTGATCCAGGAATCCAACATGGCCTGAATCGAAATTGCAACCCTAAGCCCAGGGACCCTACCGTTGGATCTTGAATACTGTACCATTTAAAACTGAGTTGGCACCAAGATTTAGAATGATTACTGCTGTGATCCCTGTACCAGCGCATGAAGATATTGATGTTCCAACTTTTTGGCTTCTACTCTAGGCTTGTGAGCAATGAAAACGTCAGACGCCGCCACAGTGCTCAGGAAGAAGCGCCGATGAGGGCAGAAAGGCTTCCGAGCTCAAGAAGCCATGCGGGTAGAGTTTTGAAGCTTCAGGGCTCTTAGGGGTTTAGGTGAACCCTAGCCGTAAGTCTGAAGCTCTGGACCCTGAAGCCTAAATTGCAACTTAGAACTTGGAGCTGGCCGGTACAGTATCCTGTTCAATAATGTTAGCGCTTTCAAGTTGCTGCCGTTCCGTTGTGGTTCTTTGCAGCCCGCATGTGCTTGATCACCCGGACAGACTTTTCACAAGTCTGGGTTTGAATGCTTCCGGGGTTTGGTATCTCTGGCTTTGTAGGCCCTTCGGGGCTTTCCGATGTTTGAGTCAGGCTATGGGACATCGGGAATGCTACTCGCAGCGAAGTGTTCGCACCCTATGAACCGCAGATGCTTCTGGGGGGACCTGCTGACCACATGTAGAGATCGAGCTTTTTCAGCTGTTCCGACGCCCAAGTAAGCCCTCATCCTCAAAGCCCCTCCTATGGGTTTCGGTTTATTTACAAGGGCTTTGTTCCGGGGTACATGATGTTATACTTGGCGCAAGGAAGCCTGACGAATAGCATTGCATTGCTAAGAATATCGAGCGACTCCGGCCCTCTACTTTAGAAGGGGCCCCACCCTGTAATAGTGGTATAATAGGAATATAGTAGGGCCCTAATATAATCCTTAAAGTCACTATTACAGGGTGGGGGCCCTTCTAACCTCCACTGTTTCTTCCATTCCCGGCCCCGAGCATCCACCAGTCACCCTGAAGAATGTACGGACGCAGCTGTGCTGTTTCTGTTCTGGTGGCTGTGCTGACATGAGTGTCCTTGCTCTGAAGGCGTTGACCTAGAATCTCATCCATATTACTTTAACAAACTAGTATACACTTTTTTTTTTTTTTATAAAGTCATGTAACTTTTTGGGGTTAAGCCCAAATCTCACCATCCTACATCTTTCTCTTTCGCTTCTGATTCCGAGCGACTCTTGAGTGTAGACTCTACAGCCACTTCGTGCTGGGTAAGATTTCCAGAGAGTTGCTCAGCTTCCGCCTTTTTTGGAGTGAAAGCTCCAAAAATCCTTTAAAGGTTCCTCAAAGGGGATCTATAAGGGTTCCTTAAAGGGGATCTATAAGGGTTCCTTAAAGGGGATCCATAAGGGTTCCTTTGAAGGGATCAAGGGTTCGATAAAGGGTTTAGGGTTTGGGAGTTTCCTAAAAATTAGGGATCCCTTGTTTTGGGGTCCTTATGATAAGGATCCTGCTCTCTAGGGTTGGGGTACTATATTAAGGTCCCCTATGTTCGGAAACTCCCATATGCCCCCAAACCCTGAACCCTATGTCCTAAACCCCAAGCCCTAAGCTCCAAACCCGAGCACGCACAGGCCCACAGTCCTCACTTCTTTCCTAAAGCAAGTCCAGAGCTGAAGCCTCTAAGCTGGGTTCGGGAGTAATATTCTTAAATGCTTTTTGAATATGGGACCCGGCCCTTAAAGGCACCATTCTGAAATAAATGTACTTCTAAGTCCAGCAAGCTGAGTGTTTGTTATGTAAAGCTACGGTCATGGGCGAATCAACGATGCAAGGATACCTTTGATGACAAGTGAGGTTGTGTTTCTTAAAGCCCTGACACTTTCTAATTTCCAGGCAACCCTGCCAAGAGCCTACGTTGTGGCAGCGCAGTTAAGTCTCTCAGCCAGCTCGGCATACACCCTTCTAAATCCCTGAAAGTACACTGGTAAAGCCTCCGAACCGCGGAGTGCCACCCCAAAGTCTGAACCACGAAACATGTGAAAGCCCCTTGTACAAAACTCCATCATCCTTCGAATACAGGGGCCTCAATGATCAGAATAGGGTTTGGGGGGTATATTATACTATAAGACTATAAGCATATTCAGGAACCCCCAAAGCCCTATTGGCCCCTACATTACACCCATAAGGGCTGAGATCGGAATCCCCAAAAAGACGCAGTCCCCCCGGCACCGTAGCGCTGCGACACGCGAGATCCTTTCGGGGATTCAGGGCGGAAACAAAAAGTGTCGCGCGTGCCTCGGGTCTACAGTGAGCTTGAGAGTTGAGGGTTCGGGTGTTTTATGCTTGGGGGTGCTCAACCCTAAACCCTAAACTGAAGTAGTTGCGGCTTTGCAGCCCCACTTTCGTTTCGCACGTTTCAAGTCGTTGCCCAGTGGGTACTTTGCTTCTTCGTCCCGCCAGCGAAGTTCAGGCAAGGTACGAGCGAGCTGTATGCGTAGCACGCTATTACGAGTTGCCATCATGCTTGTTCAGATTTCATATGAGAAACATGAGATATCTAGCAGTGATCACCTTTTTTTGCTGATCATGCTGAGCGTTTTTGGCCCGATGACTGCATTGGTGGCCTTGGAGGTCTTGTTTTTGCACTCCAACGTATTTTCACGTGTTGTCGTCTTCGCTTGAAGTTCCTGCTTTAATTTACGTTACATTCCTCACTTCGGGGTGTTGGTGTCTCTGGGTACTTGGAGGGTCGGGGGACTTAGTAAGTAGTTAGTAAGTTGACTTATAAGTACCCTAAAACGGACCCTAATTGGGGTTATGGTACTTATAAGTCTCTCAAATAACCCAATTACTAAGTCCCCCGACCCCCCAAGTAGGGTGGGGCGACCGCCGAGGATGCAGTCGATTCCTTGGCGGGTTCCTCCAATACAGGAACGTGATTTAAGCGTTCTTTGTATGGGTGGTTGTCAAACTTAGGGTCCCTTTTTGGGTACCATAAATATTAGGTGCCGTATTATAATAGATACCCAAAAAGGGACCCTAATTTTGACAACCACCCGTATGGATCCTAATATTTGGGGGGTATAGGACCAGGGTGTCTTAATCAGGTTCCGGCATTAGAGTGGAGGTGTGATTGCCAAGCGCTGCAGCCTTCAGCAGCTACTTTTGGGGCGTTAAAATTTAGAATAGGGGTATGGGGTATATCACGAAAACAATAAATATAATTAGGAACCCCAAAATAGTATTGGTAATCGTTCAGGCACCCATAGCAAGCATTTCTTGTCAGGAAAGATCCGCCCAAAACCCCACAGCCCAAGAGCCTGACTCCGCCAAGATTTCGTCGGGCCATACCACCCTGCAGATGTTCGAGAGGGGTTTCTGTAAAGGTTTCGAAAAGTGTTTCTATAAAGGTTTCTATAGCCGGATTAAGCTTGCCTCTACAGGGTTTTAGACGAATACGTATATGCCCCTTCCCTTACAAAGGACGCTGTGAAGGGATCATACCCTGGAGGCCCTTAATCAACGGGAGATTCTCAATTCAGGGTTTACATTGACGATATCGACACTAAGGGCCGAGAATGCAAACTGAGAATGATCGTACTACCACTAACGCTTCAACACTGAACCCTGGCACCCAAACCTACATAGTCCCTGATCTTCAAGAGCACAAAGTCCTGAACCTTAACACCTTGAAGCCCTAGATCCTGAACGTCAAAACCCAAGCTTCTCCACTCTGATCCCCGAAGCCCTAAACTCGAAAGGTGTTTAGACCTTTTCGTTATCGTTTTCTCTGGAGGCCCTCGTGGCTGAGCTGGACTCGCGCTTCCGGAAGATGCTCAGCGACGAACGGGTTGGGCCCCGAGTGCTTTTATTGGAGGGTGTTTTTAGGTTCGTTTGATGGTTACTGTACTCAGAGTAACCAAGGTACCTTAAGACAGGTAAACATGTACCTGTTGTAAAGCGTCATATCCCTTTTTGAAAATGTGCATTGGTTCCTCCAGGTAAGGCTCCCCCCCTCTGCATGGCTGGGACCAATACCCCTTTACCCTGAACGTAAGAAACTTACAGCGTTGTCGCACTGATCGGGGGGAGAAGACAAGTAAGAGAAGTGTCGAGGCTGGTACAGTTGAGGTAGGGGGTGCCAACGGGATTGTCAAAGGGTCTGAATGTCTTTAGCACGAGCTTACATCCGCTTAGTTCTACGACGCTACGATTCCGATACGATGCTATGTATCAACCATGGTCCTAATCCGCTACATCGTAAATATCAACCATGGTCGATTCAAAAGTGTCAGTGTCACCGGCCCGAGATCTCTCAGGCATCTCGCTTCGAAGACGCTTCCTCAGAGAGCAGTGGGGGGTGGGGGGGGGGGGTGGGTACCGTATTTTGGGGTCCTTCTAATAAGGATCCTACTATTTAGGGTACTATATTAGGGCCCCCTACTTGGAGGGTCGGAGGACTTAGTAACTGGTTATTTTAGGGACTTATAAGTACGATAACCCCAATTAGGGTCCCTTTTAGGGTACTTATAAGTCTATTTACTATCTACTTACTAAGTCCCCCGACCCCCCAGGAATTGTCGGATATCCAGATTGAGGATGTTGGGCTTGGCTGCTGGGGATTTCGGCATTCCTGTTGAAGTTCGAAACCGGCCTCCCCAACCCCAAGCCCGCGCCCTGCATCCCAAAAGTTCAATAACCGGGTTTGGGGTTTAGGGTTTAGGGTCTCGATTTAATGGTGCGGTTTTGAACTACCTTGGACCTTCCAAAAACACCATTGATTCAGGTTTGATTGCTTGTCCATGCTTTGGCCTCGCTGCATACTGGCAGCATCTCCTTGGAGACCTGTGCCACTTCGCTACTACGGCGTACTACGGTTGATAATAAAAATCCTGCATTACCTTAAGGACCCTTAGCTATGGGAGATTGGTCAACATCAGCAGTGCATTTGGTCCCTGTCTGCATAGCAAGCTGCGGACGTTGCTTGGGGATCTTCTTCAGTTCACGTCGAGCTGGAGTAAGCATCAGTTGCCATGCAAGATTTCGTGGACTGTTGAGCTGGGTTGTATTCTTCTACCTCACTTCCTTACGGCGAAGTTACTTTTTCGTTGAGCCCGATCTAGGCACACACTTACATCAGGATTTAGTCAGGGGATCTTGGGAGCCATAATATAGGGGCCTTAATACTTACCTATACTATTCCGGGGGTTTCTTACTATAATTATAGTATATCGGGCCCCCAAACCCTGTGCCAATTATTAAGGCCCCTATAGTATCCACACAGGCCGCCGGGGCCTTGATAATTACCTACACTGGGGGTCGAGTAACGGTTGATGATCAAAATCCTGCATTACCTTAAGGACCCTAGACTATGGGAATTATGGTATATTCCTTATTATGGGTAATGCAGGATTTTTATCATCAACCGAAGCACCAGTTGTCTGTGAACGAGCTCGTCCTAGTTCAGTTCAGTCTCGCCTCGCCTAGTCCAGTCTCATAACCATTGTATCTTCGTGAGTCATACGGTTGAGGATATGACCCATAATAAGGAATTTGCCATAATTCCCATAGTTTAGGGTCCTTAAGGTAATGCAGAGTTTATATCATCAACAGTAGTGGGGTAACATTTTACATTGTATGGGTACTTACGTAAACCCAATAGGGAATAAAGATGTAAATATTTAATCCTACCCCAACCATGAACTAGAATTGTTTCCTGATTTAGTTGTTGTTGAGCTTGGGGTGCTCTAGGAGAAACAAATAAGTCCCGATTTCATTTTGCCGTATGGGTAGCAGGCTCGGCATGAAGTAGAGCGTCACGCAACGTTCAAGGGCCAATTAAATCGTGAGTTAGTCCTGCCAGGCCTAAGGGGTCCAAGACGGCCCGATGCCGGGCACAAGCCTTGAAGCCCTCAACTCTCAACCGCAGCTGGGGTTCCGGATCTTTGTTGGTTGAGAAGTCATAGGAGGCCAAAAGGGGTTTTAGCCTGTGGGGGTTCAGTAGGGATTAGGGTTCCCATAATGGGGTTCGATTGTCCCATGTATAAAAATGGGGTTTGGGGATACTTGTCATGGAAGTCCTGCCGCACATAGCAGATGCCAAGGACAACGCGGTGCTGCAAGAGCATCTCGGCCGTGTCGAGGACGGCCTTGGGTTCGACCCACGGCATGCGTACTGTTGATGATAAAAATCCTGCATAACTTTAAGGACCCTAAACTATGGGAATTATGGGATATTCTTATTATGGGTAATGCAGGATTTGTATAATCAACCGTAGGGGTCTCTAGTATTTACGTTCCTTCGAGTCCTCATACAAGGGGCCGGAATTATTTAGACAAAATATTCCCTTAGAGTCGCCTTATGATCGCATAATATGCCGCCTTTAAACCCTAAACCCTAAACCAATCTGCCCCATACTGTTATGGACAAATCCTGCATGACCCTAAGGACTCTAAACTATGGGAACTATGGTATGTTCCTCATAATGGGTAATGCAGGATTTTGTCCATCAAACCCTAAACCCTAAACCCTAAACCCTAAGACCTAAATCCTAAACCCTAAGCCCTAAACCCTAAGCCCTAAGCCCTAAACCCTAAACCCCACTCTCATCCTTGAGGGCTCCGTACTTTCCGATGACCAGAGTCCCACCGCAACGGTTCAGAGCTAGGTTCGGGATTCTTCCAGGGCTGGAGCCATTTGGGAGTTTCCGAAAATTAGGGTGCTATATTTTGGGGTCCTTATAATGGGGATCTGTAAGGGTTCCTACAAAGGGTTTAGGGTTTAGAAGGTTTCCGAAAATTCGGGAGCCTTATTTGGGGTCCTTATAATAGGGGATCCTACTATCTAGGGCACTATATTAAGGTCCCCATTTTCGGAAACTCCCATTTCTCCTTTCATGTCAGAGCCAAACCCTAAAGCCTAGCCTCTAAACCCCTTCACTCCTATCCCCTTAAATCCGAAGTGCAGAAGGAACCCGTCATGGGCCTGAGTACTTTCTCGAGCTGCAGTCCAAAGACGTGGGGCTTTAGGGGTTCAGGGTGTAGGGGTTGAGGGGTTTAGGGTTCTGCTGTTGCGGGCGGACCGGGCTCCTCTCCTCCATGTGGGTGGTTATCAAAATTAGGGTCCCTTTTTGGGTCCCTATTATAATACGGCACCTATTATTTAAGGTACCCAAAAAGGGACCCTAATGTTGACAACCACCCATGTGATCTTCGAGGAGACCTTAGCCACCGAGCGAAGCGCGCAGGAGGGGGACTGACTGTTGTGCTTTGGGCAACTTCAGGGGGCTCTAAGGATCCTATAAGGGGCCATAAGGATCCTATAAGGGGCTATATGGATCCCATAAGGGGCTATGTGGGTCCTGCAAGGGTCGGAGAAGTGTGAATATGAGGATCTGAGAAGGGCCCTATAAGGGCCTTAAGACGATCATTTCAGGATCCTATAAGGGGCTATGAGGGTCTGAAAAACACCATCATGTGGATCATGTAAATTGGGGTTCTCGTCATTCGCACTTCCAGCCATGGATATGTTGCGTAATTGTCTCCAAATCACGCAGAAGACAGGAGGGTATCGACCATGGGCTTATAGGAAAGCACTTCGAATTGTTTCTCACGGCGCAAACAAGCGAGTTCAACTCTGCTTTGCAAGTGTCTTCGACACATGTGGGTTTGCTGCTATGATGCTCATGCTAACCCTGATTCAAACGTGGTCTCTGACCTCATTGAGCCTTCAAGGCTGATTCGAATTCTACATTATCAGGGGTGGAACTCAACCTCTCTACAGAGCTACGTGTAGGGAGGGAATTCTACACTCCTCCTTGACATTCCCAACCGGAAATGTCACCTAATCAGATTCCCGACCTTGCCGCAGTAGTTAAACAGTAACGACAAAACATCCTTCTGTTCGTACCCGAAACACTTCTCAAAGCATGGCAGTCAGGAAACAAGTGGATGGCACCCGGAGTCCGGCTGCTTGTTGTAATCATATCAATGCTGCACATCTCCTCATGGGTAAGTCCACGGGGAAAATCAGTCTGTACAGCAATCTCCCTCCGAGTCGGTAACACACTCGTTCCCTGGGCTGGAGGCTGGACTCCCGGCGCATTATGAAGCATGGTAGGAGAAGGAAGTGAGGATGAGGAGGAAGCCATTGGATGCCTGTCAGCAGCCTGGGCAACATGAACCTGAACCTCATCTTGCTGCTGGTTCACAAACCTTGGAATGGGTGGTGGACTCTCAGCGAGTCTCTCATTCGTATTTCCACCGACATTCACTTGGATAACAGGCCCAGCAACATCTTGAGTGGAGGACAGGGCATCATCACCACCTCGCCTCCTTCTCAGGTTAAGCCCTTGAATTTCAGTATCAATGGCTCTTCTCACCACCTCCTGTCTCCTTTGCCTTCTGGCGCTCGCATCATCCTCATCAACTCTGATCATACTAATTCTCGGTTCATCCCTGCAACACCTTGCGAGGCAGTACTTCCCAGTTTCCCACACAAAAAGAGCAGAAAGCAGCATCATCACTGCCAAAACTGAGAGTTCAAGGCTGAGAGGCTCTTGGAGTTCATCGTCCTCCACGCTTGCCTCTGATTCCATCATCTGTAACACCAGGATCAACAGCACCATCTTTAACCTGACTCCAGTCAGATCAGGATTCTGGACAGGAGGTGTCGCCCTACCTACCAAGGCTACTCGGGCTTCGGCAGGTTCGGGTCCTAAACCAACCAACCAACTCAGGAAAAGGTGCCTTGGACTGGCCAGAACCTTGGTCAAAAGGTCTGCAAGCTGATATTCCCCCGGGCAGTGTTCTACTTCGAGCTCCTTAGTATCAACCATTTCCTTCACGAAATTCGAACGAACCCTGAGGTGCCTAGTTCTCATTGAACCAGCCCCTTCTGCCAAGGAAATCGCAGCAAGGTTATCAACCAAAAGCAGCTTATTTTCCAAGTCTTTGGTCAAATCCTCGATCATAGCCTCAGTGCTTTGAGCCAACACCACTGCTTCGCAACCAGCGATCAATTCACTTTCTGCTGTTGACAAGGATATCAACGTTTGGCGCTTTGCCTTCCACGTTACAGCTCTTCCAAGAAAGGTAACCAGGATCCCCGATATGGAGTGGGATCCATGTGGTGAGAATGATGCATCGGAGTACACCACAATTCTTTTAGGGCCTTGGATAGGGATTAGGGAGAGCTTAAAGTCCATTGTTGAACCCAAAAAATCTAACAGGCGCAGCCCTATCTTCACAACGTACGTCGGGGCTCTGGTGCACCACGACCCCATCTGTGAGACTGCAAAGGCTGCGTCAACCCTAGTACGCTGGGTGAGCCATAACAATTCACCTGTGATCTTTTGCGCTCTCCTCAAGGTATCAGGGTCAACGTTTGACTCCTCACACGGCAGCTCGCGTACCCACTCCCTTGGAAGAGGGGTGTGATGCTTGGGTTCAAGTTGGTAGGACCTTAGAAGTTCTTCGATGTAGCCCTTCTGGCCCAGAAGAAATCCATAGTTTCCTTGCTCATCAAAACCCTGATATATCTCAACTCCCAAGAAGGTGACATGATTTCCCTTTACTGTGCCCTCAAGAGGAGTGCATTGCCAGGTGCTTCTCAGCCATGCATAAGCACACTGCGCCTCTGCAGGGCTGGTGAGGAACATGATATCATCAACATAGACAAGTGCATACCCAACGAGTTCATCCTTGTCGTTAAGAAGTTTCCATACATTCCCCTCAACCGAAGACTGGCATAACCGGGTTTGACCACTTACACCTTCCCAAGTTGCGGTTCGTAAAACACTATCCCTATATTCTGACCACCAGCGAGGCGACTGCCTCAAGCCGTAGACGGCCTTGCAAACCTGCCAAATCTCATTTGGCTCTGTGATCCCCATAGCCTCCAACACCTTTGGTGGTCGCAAGAGAATCCGTCCATGCATACCCACAGGCAGCGGGGCAAGCAGGAAAGCGTTCTTTATGTCTGTGATGAATGCTTGGAACTCACGCACAGCACACTCAATCAATATTGCACGCAGCACCTCAGAAGGCACGCCGGATGCATATAGTTCCAGGGAAGGGTCCTTATCTTCATAATTTCCACAGCCTACCACCCTACATTTCCTCCGATACAGGCTACCATCACTACCCGGTTTTACAGTAAAAACCGTCTTGGCGGGCAGCACCTGTGCGTCCGGAGCAGCGGCGGCTCGCAAGGCCTCGCTTCCCTTTAAGCGTGTTATTCCCCTCATCCCCTCGAGTGCTCCTACTTCTGCCCTTGCTGAGGGTGTCCAGCACTCTAGGTGTCTTTTAACCTCCGCTGGGGAGACATTATGCACAACCTTTAAAGGAACTGACAATCCCCTCAGAAGCTCTTCCACATTTGGAGTGTAAAACGAGTCATCTATCTTACTTACTCCATAGGAAACCACGGTAGCTTCTGACAATGTCGCCAGTGGATTCAGGGTTGAAACACCAATCCGAGCTGAAGCACTTGAGGCACTTGCTGCCGTCGCACCTTGTGTTCCTTGTCTTTCTATAGGGTCACTGCTGCTATAATCGGTGGATGGTGCAGACAGCGACACCATTTTGCAGTGATAGTTAGAAGATAATCCTTCTTCTGACCGGCAAGGAGGTGAGGGTGTTTCCTCCGACACACACTCCTCCTGATTGGGATCATCATCACTTGACGCATCTTCAAACCTGTCCCACAGGTCTTGCATACTCATGCAATATTCCGCGTAATCCTCATAAGTAGTTGGTACCCAATCTCGTGGGGAACGGTTAGCGGAATGTGCTAACCTCACTTCCTCGTTGCCGCCTGGCGTGCTAACCTCAATTGGGGTTATGATCACACTGGAATTCAGCTGCGACGGAGGTAGTGAGGGACCATCGGATGAGGAAGCCGGTGTTTGTTGGGTCTCCGGGTGAAGGTGCCTCGGGAAAGTAGGTCCCTGGAAACTGTAGTCGGAAAGGCCTTGACCCACGGGTACGCGGTCATCCTCATCCTGGGCATGGCGGGTGCAGTAGTCAATCCACCTCTGCTCCCTTTCACGCCGCTCCTCACTCACAATCCAATCTCCTTCATCCAATCTATCCTCCCCTTTAACACCTAGACCCGGTACAGGAGGACCTGGGCTACGGAACCCCAAGGTCCTATTCTGAAAGATCCATGGAATCTTCCTCTGCAACCTATCAATAAGCTGAACCTCACCGGTGGTTAACGCTGTGAGGTTCGGCGGATCCGGTCTCACAGTTCCTGCTGGGTGGATTCCCTTCATCACTCTTCTGGCTAACAGGGGCGACAACCCAAATTCAAGCAAATCTTCTTCATATAAAAAAGGCAGATCGGATGCCTCCTGAACACCGAGGACGGTTAGTCTTTGGAAAGCACCCTCAGCACCTCTTTCAAGCAAGTATTCGTAGAAATCTGTTTCTTCCAGATTCATGACAGGTTCGGTACGAACGCCATTGGTGGAAACATCCCATCCCACAGGTTGGGTAACTGAGTCCTCCTGTTCGTCCTGACTCTGCTCCAAGTCTGATCTTGGGGTTATCGGCTCCAACGGTGGAGGGCCTGAGTCCTCACTGGACGAAGAATCACTGGCCTCATTCAAGAGAACACTTCTGACCATCCTTATGCTTGCTGCTGGCTCCTCCTGAAGGTTGAAGCGGAAACCCAATTCTTCCAAGTAGGCTATATCATCAACCGCTATCTTGGCAGTACCTAATGGGGTGTAGCCTACAATCAACCAATCGGGTTGCTTATGGACAGAGTGAGGAATTCGCGCATCAAACTCGGTCACTCGCGAGGATAGGCAGTATGTCTGGGCCACATTCCCCTTGCATCGGTCTCCCTTTGCTGAGGACGGCTCCACTCTCAGTTGAACCTCTCCTGGGATGCAATGGACGATGTTCCTGGTTCCCCACTCATTCCTCACATCCTTATGCAACCCTATTTCTGTTGCATGTAGTATCATCACAGCCGACCAGCCGTTATGTCCTTCGGGAAGATCGAGCGACGCCCTACGTTTCAGCAACTTATTTAAGAATCTAGAGGTCCTTGGTAACTTCTTGCACAAGTTTGTTACACCCCTTTTACCACCATGGCAGAATGCTCCTATCACGTACTTGCTCTCAAACTCCCCTCTTCTGTCAATGGAAGGTCGTTCACTTTCTTGCAATGCATAGGCTACCTGGCGAAAGGCATCATTGGAATAGTCCTCGTCAAGAAGGAATCTGCCTGCCAACACCTCAACCTCCGGTTCATTGCATTCTGCTCCATCAACAAAGCTCACTCTAGACTTTGTTCGCATCCTACGGGATGGCAGCTCAACAGACCGAGGTGGCTCATCAGGAGGTGGCAAGGGCGGTTCATCTTCGCCTTCCTCCTCCTGAACAACTGGAAGATCTAGACCTTCTAGCTTATTAGGATCAATCGTCCCAGCCTTAAAACCTTTTGAGGCAACCAGGTTTCCTGCTGCAGTAATAAGCACGTGACCCCTCGGTATTGTTCTGTGCGGGGCTCCGTACCTTGCTTCTGTCCATCTCTCCATCAAAGCCTTCTTTGCATCGGCAGGCCTCTTAATCCTGTGGAGAACGGGCTGAGCAAAGGCAGGTGGGGCAGGAAGTGATAGCACATCCACATTGTGGCGGTGAACAGCCCATCGTGCCGCCAAGGGCCACCAGTGCGTTGGGAGTTCAGCTCCCTTCAGTAATGTCCTAACCCTTGATTTTACCCAACCAACTGTTCTTTCAGCCAATCCATTTCCTTTCTTGTCGGTGGGTAAGGAATTAGAAACCGTTATCCCCTTTTCACTTAACCACCTTTGCAAATTCGTGCTCGAGAATTCAGTCCCCGGATCATGATGCACGTTATGCACTGGATACTCCTGCATTATTCTTAAAATCATTTGCTGAACCGCCTCAGTAACCTCAGCTCCAGTCTTGGTTCTCAGCGGGGTGAAGAACCTCAAGACCGCATGATCGACTGGGATATTAAGGTCGTGGACTAAATCCCTTAAGGTGTTTGGGTCCTCAGGCACCTCTGCAGTGGCATCAAACAGTGAGGTTCCAACTTCTTGTGACCCCACTGCGCTCACCACGGGCACATCTAAGTCCCCGTCAAACAACTCAGGAAACAATTCCGGCTCAACCTCAAATGGACGAAAATCATCCTCACCAATCTCGGCTGGTATCACATCAGCCCCATCACGGGGTGCTGGGGAATCGTCGGCCTTGCCTGAGCTTGACTTACCACCTATTACAGACCTCGGTAATCTGAAGGCGCCAACCAAGCCATATCTCAAGGTGCACTTTCCCGTAACGCAGGTCTCATCACGTCCTGCTTCATCAATGGGAACTGGACCAAAGAGGTCGATTGATAAGGTGTACATCCTTGGATATTTTATGCGGGAGTGGAAGGTTCCTAGCGCTGCGCCCTCCACACATTGCCTGCAATCTCTGCGATATGGTACGTGCCCACTGAGCAGGTGTCGTTTCCAACCCTCAAGCTCAGCCTCTGATACATCCTTAACCTCCTTGACCCTTAGGTCTTCATCTTCTGATTCATCCTTCAAATCATCTACCTGGACAACATCATCAGACTCCTCCTCAGACGAGGAAATCACGCTCTCTTGCTCAAACATTGCATTCAACCTTTCCTCCTCCAGGTCCTCAAGATGCTGCTGTTCCTGGACGTGGAGCTCAGCACAACTTGCAGAGCGGATAATGCTATCCAGCACCTCGCACGACGTTCCTGTAGGACGACCTGACATGGCGGTGGAAAGATGCCTTCTGAGGCCTATGGACCAGATCGGGTCGGAGTGGCTCTCAGTATTTTCATCCAGAATATCCAACTGGCCAAGACATCCCAATTCCAAGTTGGACAACAAGCAGGTCTTCCTCGTGCGTCCCCTTTCATTAGAGACCTGGTTCAAGGTTGTGACCCTTGCACCTGACCACCCGAGGAAAGCTTGATGGTCTTTCCAGTCCTCAAGCGGTACCTCTCTTACATAGGGAACGCCTGCTCCACGAGCAACAGAGGCGAGGGACCATAACACCTGATCCTGGATGATCAATACCTCACTCCCCGGTCTCGGATGGTGGGGTGGAGATGCAAACACAGCAACAACCCTGGCAGAGGCCGCAGCCCACATTAGCACACGCCACACAGCATTCCTTTTGGTCAAGTCCCAACCCTTTCCGCCTGGCTCACTCAAGTCAACATTCAAGACTGCAACCTTATTAACTTCACACCACTGTGAAATAGGGTCACATGGTTTTGGCTTCCCCGAACATAGATGAACAAGCCATCTTTTGGAACTCAACAAGGCTCTGCGCTTAGACCTTCTAAGGGGCAAGGCCTTCAAGTGCTGTTGGCCCGTTACTTCATCGCAACTCCCAAAGTCCTCCGCCAACCTTGCGACGACTTCCTCAGAAACATCGGCAAGATAGGGCTGCGCTATCAAAGCCCGCAGGACCTCCTTCCTCTTACCGGTAGCCATCGCTTGCTTCCAGGCCTCGGTTGGGTCCAGGGGTTTATCCATAGACTCAATGCGACACTCCAGATTCTGCACTTCTTCACGAAAGGATGCCAGCCTACGGGACTCAAGTTCTGCAATCAGTTTGAGGGCCTGGTCCTCTTGAACCATTGGACAATTACTGCTAGAGAGGCCAGTACTCAACAACCCCAAAGTAGGGTGTGTGACCTTCAACCCCTTGCGACGGGACCAGCTCACCTTACACCCCAAGGTTTCTACGAGGGATCCAAGGGGAAGGATGGTTTGAGGTTTACTCCCCTGGCCGTTGTCCTGGGGCAAAGGCGGGACCACTAGTGTTCCGCCAGCCGTTCTCAACCAGTTCTGGCGAGAGTCACCAGCCAGCGTGACTGGCACAGTGTCGAGCTGTCCCATCGACTGTTCATAAGGGATCACAGCATGTGTTGCACCACTATCCAACAGGGCAAGTGCTTTAATCAACCTGTCATCTGTGTCACTATCAACCCTAAACATGGCGACCTTACCTTCACATTCATGCACCCTAGCAGTCAGGCACTGATGTTGCAAGGCCCGAGAGGTAACCACCTCTTCGTTGACAGCGCTCACCGCTCTCACATCATGATCCTGGGCCATACTCCTCAGGGTCTCAAGTTGTGCTGTCAAGGAGGCCAAAGTCACTGGCGTACCTTGTACGGAAGAGGGTGCTTGGGTAGGAGGACCACTCATTGGGACGGCCTTCGGTGGAACCTGTGCAGAAGGGGAACCATCAGTGGTTTCCGGCATTGCCTGTTGAAGAATTCGGGCAGCATCTGCGAGCATGCTCTTGATGTTCTGCTTCCCATTGCCAGGTGGGCCATGAGGAGGATTTCCAGGTGGATGTTTGGGCATGCCCGGCGGCTTTGGGGGTGCTTTAGGCTGACCCTTATCCTTATCATCCCTCAAACCAGCGCTACACTCAGCTGCGCGATGGTTCCTGCTGCCGCAAACCTTGCAACGGGCGCTCTTCTCGGCTGAGCTGAACGCTGCCCAGTTGTGCTCAAAGGCACAGTCCTTGCCTTTCTTACACCCATTGGCCTGGGTGTAAAAGGTGCAGGGGACCTTACTAGTAGGGCTTGGAGTTGCAGTGGTCGTCTTAGGCGCTGGAGGAGTCTTATTATGAGGCTTCGGCGGGTATTTAGGATCCTTCGGTCCCGGTGGTGCCACCTCCGGTTGAGCCTCAACGCCCTTTATTTTAGGAGGTGGAGCGGACTCGCGGGTCCTATCCTTATCCTGATCCTTAGAGCCTCGGTGGTTAATTGACTCTAACTCACTTAAGATCCTAGCATAGAGCTTATGGACCTTCTCATTGTCAGGGTTCATATCCACCTGTAGCTCAGCACGGCTTAAGGACACCCTAAAGCTCACCTCAGGGTACTGTTGCAGGACTGATTTGGATATGCGCGACAGTGCCCTGACTTGCAACGCACAGTCGGGTAACGAACCACCCAGCTCTGTCATACGCGCGCACCACCGCTTCCAGCGTCGGAGTATATCGATAGTGTCTTGAATGCCTTGGCCTGCAGGAGGTTCCTGGATCTGTTTCAATCCAAGTTCGCGCTCGTTTAAGCTGCCAGGCCCGTATATCACGAACAGTTTGCATAGCAGTGGAAGTAGTCCTGACACACGTGCCGAACTCAGTTCTTCCTTCACACTCATTGGAGCCGCCGTTATGATCATCGACTCCATTCGGCGGCATACTCTCTGCCAACGGGACTGGTCCAGTTCCGAGGAAGGTATTGCCTTAGAGGTAAGTCTGCTCATTGGATCAAGCCTCAAGAAAGACTTATACCAAATCGTGGCCTCTGTCACAACCATGGTCCACAGCTCTTCTGAGTTGTCACTCACATCCGCAAGGGCAGGGCGAACGTTGTGTAGCCAGTCTGCAAACGCCAAACACGAGTCTGCACTCAGTTCCGGAAGTGGTGGCAGTGCCTGTACTCCAGGTTTTATTACTTCAGCCTTAGCTGCGTTCTTCGGAGAGCTTGCGATTTCAGCCACAACTCCCTGGAGCTGGGCCATTCCTGTCAAGACTACACTCAACGGATCAAGTCCCTGCGACCCCACGGCTGCCTGTTCTGGGTTTAGACCACCGGTCTGCTTTGTATCTACAACTGGGACATGAGTTGACTGTGCTAAACCTGGTGACACTACCTGATCCTGAAACTGCATGGCTCCTGAAGGCTGCATGACCTGACCTGGCGACTGCATCGCATCATGTTGCACCTGACCTCGTGACTGCACGACACCTGGAGGCTGCATGACCTGACCTGGCGACTGCATTGCACCATGTTGCACCTGACCTTGTACCTGCATAGTACCTGGAGGCTGCACGACCTGACCTGGCGACTGCATTGCACCAGGTTGCTTGTACCTGCATGTACCTGAAGGCTGCACGACCTGACCTGGCGACTGCATTGCACCAGGTTGCGCCTGACCTTGTACCTGCATGGCACCTGAAGGCTGCACGACCTGACCTGGCGACTGCATTGCACCAGGTTGCGCCTGACCTTGTACCTGCATGGCACCTGAAGGCTGCACGACCTGACCTGGCGACTGCATTGCACCAGGTTGCGCCTGACCTTGTACCTGCATGGCACCTGAAGGCTGCACGACCTGACCTGGCGACTGCATTGCACCAGGTTGCGCCTGACCTTGTACCTGCATGGCACCTGAAGGCTGCACGACCTGACCTGGCGACTGCATTGCACCATGTTGCACCTGACCTTGTACCTGCATTGCACCTGGAGGCTGCACTCCTTGACCCGGCGACTGCATGGCACCTGGAGGCTGCATACCTTGACCTGGCGAATGCACGGCACCTGGAGGCTGCATGTAACCTGGTAACTGCATTGGCACGGGCGGTGGAGGAGGTTGGCCGGAGTGCCCTAAATCCAAAGGGGCATGGGGAGAGGCGGTCAAATCCAAACCATGCGCCTGGGAGCCCTGTGGCCTCAAATCAATAGCCCTTCCATTACCCATAAGATTACCAATACCCCTGCTAATCCACCCAAGACCAGCAAATCCCTGGGTTACCGGCTCAGTTCGAGAAATCATAGACCTACTCTGTACACCGTCAAAGACTCTGGTCCTAAGTTCACTATTTTCTACTACCAAAGCCTCTACCTGCGCACGTAGTCTACGACTCTCTTCATCTCTAAGCGCCATCAGTTCGGATAGTTGTCGTCTCACTTCCGCCTGCACATCACTCGAGGACACCGAAGGCGGCCTCGGGGCTGGAGGACTCGGAGAGTCCGATGGATAAATCAGCGGCGCTCTGGCCTGTAAGTGCTCCATTCTCTGAAGCATCTCCTGATCCAGCAACGGGGTCGCTGGCACCTGGGACTCCGATGGAGCCCTGTCACCCTTCTGAACTCCTCCAGAGGAAGTCACAGACGCATACTCGACACTATCCCGAAGCTCAGGCTGGGCTCCTGGTCCTATTCCACTTGTGGAACGCACGAAGCTTTCAACCGTAGTTGGCAGTGCTTGAACCGCCCTCATCATACCAGAAAAAACATTCGAGGAAGACGGAGCTGAACCTCTGATGTCATCCATATGACGTCCAACCGAAACACTAGTTCCACTTCCCACATCGCCTTGTACTCCTTGAAGTTGAGAGTATCCTGTTACCACATCTGAGCCACGTAGAGCTCTCTGACTCTCCGCAGCAGGCCCCGACGGATCTCCAATCCTGGGCTGGTTTATCCCAGGTCCGAAACTCCTCGGAGGGCCCCTGACCTCGTCGTCGAGGTCTAAACTGCCTCGCAGAACCGGCCTTGTTCCATTCATCATAGGAACTCGGCCTTCTGTCCCTTCTCCAGCAGCAGTGGTCACGCTTGGGCTACTCATAACCTGAAAAACACCATCATGTGGATCATGTAAATTGGGGTTCTCGTCATTCGCACTTCCAGCCATGGATATGTTGCGTAATTGTCTCCAAATCACGCAGAAGACAGGAGGGTATCGACCATGGGCTTATAGGAAAGCACTTCGAATTGTTTCTCACGGCGCAAACAAGCGAGTTCAACTCTGCTTTGCAAGTGTCTTCGACACATGTGGGTTTGCTGCTATGATGCTCATGCTAACCCTGATTCAAACGTGGTCTCTGACCTCATTGAGCCTTCAAGGCTGATTCGAATTCTACATTATCAGGGGTGGAACTCAACCTCTCTACAGAGCTACGTGTAGGGAGGGAATTCTACAGGGTCCTATAAGGGTCCTTTTAATTGTTACATAAGGGTTCTGGAATCTATACAGTACCGGGCTTAGGCATAGGCTGTTGCAGGGGTTCCGGCATTAGGACTGCAGTTTAGGGCAAGGCCACGGATTTATAGAACGCGAGCCCGAATTCATAATATTTCTTGGCACCCCCGAAACCCTAAACCCTAAATCCCTAAACTTCAAACCCCTAAGCTCTAACCCCGAGCTCAAAACAGTTTGAACAGTTTGCCCCAACCCCAAAAGGCCCGAAACCCAACGAGACCGAACTCTTCTGGAACTACCATCAGACCACATAGTCCCTTTTGCAGCAAACCCAAAACGAGCTTAGGGTTTAGGGGCCCACGCCCTCAACCCGGTTTAGGCTTCAGGGCTTATAAACCCAAACCCCAGGCGCCTTTTTAGGGATTTATGTAAAGAAATCATATTAGGGGTTTAGGGTTTAGGGTTTAGGGTTTAGAGTTTAGGGTTTAGGGTTTAGGGTTTAGGGGCCCTAATAGAAAGGTAGGATAATTGGGGTCCAGGTAAGCCCTAGATTCGGGACCCAGAAGCCTCGCCCCCCAAACCCCGAATCTCGCATCCCAAGTTTAGTCCAAGGGTAACAGGAGGGACCCTTAATAAGGACCCCAGGTATATACCCTTAAGGGTGTAGGGTTTAGGGTTTAGGATAAGGACCCCTAGGTATATACCCTTAATATAGCTATTATATACCCAGTATATAGGCCATTATGGGGTAGGGCTCCCCATTAAGGGTCCCTCCTTGTCCCCTTTGGGTTAACTAGCTTAACTCTCCGTCTACGCCGCAGACGAGCCCGACACCCAGAGACCAGGATTTGGGTTTATGCTGTTTAGGGTTTATTTAGGGTGCCGATGCAGGCGAAGAAGATGGAAAGCATCAATGCCCAGCTTGTGAAGGTCCGTTTAAAGCATGGCAGGGTTCAGCTGAATTGCGTAGAGCTGCTGAGGGGCTCGAGACCTTTAACCCCCAAGCCCTAGGACTACTAGACTCTTATTCTCAAGCGAACCTCGGGTTATGGTTTTTAAGTTTTAAGAAGGGTACAGCAACTGTAAAGGGATGCGGCTACTCCTGCTGATAGTTCCGGCCCCCTCGGCCCTGCAGGATAGGGTTGAAGGTCTGGGGACGTTTGAGGCTCAGGGGGTGTAAGGTTTGGGTTTAAGCGAGAGATCAGTAGACTTGTAAGTAGGAGACTCCTACAGAAGTCCCATGGGCCTCGAAGACACTAAGCCCTGATCTCTAAACTTAAAACAAGCCACCCAGAACTCCGAAGACCAGAGAACCCAGCGACGCCCCTCCAAACCCAAAGCCCTGACCCCGAAACACTACCGACTGTAGTAGCAGGAAGGAAAAGGGCCCTCAAAACAAAAAATCCCTTAAACGCCAGGAGGCCTCATTGCACCAAAAAGAAGCCCTCAAACCCTCAATCTTCAAATCTCCAAACCCTACACCCCGGGAGCCGTCTCCCTCTGGGGTAGGGGTCAGATCGCAGTGTAACGGTTGATGATACAAACCTAAACCCTAAACCCTGAACCCATAAGAAGGAATATACCATTTTTCCCATAGCTTAGGGTCATTAAGGCCTCATCAACAGTAAGGAACGCAGGCTTCTATATTGAGACTTCAGCGAACGGTTCGCCGCAAGAGGAGAGGTAGTTTGGTTTCTCCGTAGATGCCCTCCATGGTTCCTACTTCTTCGCAGTATCGGGTTCCAAATTCGGGGTTCTACTGTCTCGATCCGTGAGGAACGCCCGTTCAACCTCTAAGCTTCTTAGCCCGAAAGTTTTAAGCAGGTTTCGAAGGACCTGGAGACCGAGAAGGATACCCTGCAGGAGCAGTGCTTGCACGAATCACTGGATGTTGACTGGATTGCTTCTGTAGGGTCGGACACCGAGGTTTGGGTTGAGAGAGACGAGGGTGCTGCATTAAGCCGGTTCCTCGTCTTCAAGGAGTGAGACCTTGGTAGACAGAGAGAGAAAGAGAGAGATTTCGACAGAGACCCTAAACCCTAAACCGACGGCATGAAAGCACCATTGATTGCACTTCAAAAGAAACCTTATAGACCCCAACCCCAACCCCCCCCTCCACCGCACTACACCTTTCGTTGATTAAGAAGGGAGGTTGCGCCGCTATCGCTCCGAAAGCTACGTGAAAGGGGATGGTTCATCAAGGGGCTTAAATGATCGCCAGGTACTCACTACTTTGTAGGGTTCCTTGCTTCCGTATAGGTTCATTATGAATCTCGCCCAAAACCCAAAACCCTAAACCCTGAACCCTAAAACCGTGGTCTAAGCAGTCTAAGGCTTAGGACTCATTTAGGGTGTAGGGTTTAGGGAGCAGATGTGTAGGATTCTGTCTTTCCTAATTTTTACCATGACCTTTGTGCCTTAAGACGGCGAAGAGGAGGAAGCGTCGTTCTTAGCGTCATCTTCGTCGTAGTGTCTGGCCAGGATCAGCTGAGGGAGCTGCTGACTCGTCCGGCGCCAAGCGGCCCTCGAACCTCAACCCTACTTAAAGGCTCATGGGACTTAGTAACTACTTGAAGGATCATGGGACTTAGTAAGTAGGTTATAATTGGGGTTATAAGTCCCCTAAGTGGGGTTATCCTAATTACAACCTACTTATAACCTTACTTACTAAGTCCCATGAGATTTGAAGTAGGTTTATAATTAAGGTAACTATACTTATAATTACTTATAACCCCAATGAAGGTGCTTATAACCTTACTTACTAAGTCCCATGATCCTCCAAGTAAGCCCAGCTTCGCAGGTTCCCATTCACCTAGTGAGACCGAGATTGCAAGCTTTCGGTCCAAGGCCCGTCCTCTAAACCCGCCACCTTAGGGTCGTAGGGTCGGTAGGGCGGTAGGGTTTAGGGCTAGGGCCCAAAACAGAAATCCCAAGTCGGCCGGAAGTACCCCTAAACTCCACCATTTTCTAGCAGAGCCCCACGCTCTGAGAGTCAACCCTTCAGCCCTTCCAACCCTTCAACCCATCAGTCCTTACCCTAAACCCTGAACCCTTCAACCCGCAAGCCCTCAAACCACAAGGTCCCGAATCACAAGCCTAAACTTGCAAGCATCTAAAGACCTAAAGAATTGTGAAAGGGCTGCAAGATCTGAAGTAACCCCATAAGAGCGTAACAAACTCCCGACAAGCTTCGATACAACCCTGCAGCAGAACACAGGAAAACTAAACCTCAAACCCTAAACCCTAAAATACCTAAACCCCTAAACCCTAAACCTCTAAACCTCTAAACTTACCCTACCCCCCTAGACCCGGGACAGCCCCAAGCCTTAGTCTAGCAGCGCCTAAGGACAGCATAGCCTGAGAAGCAGCATGGTCGATGGCACGAGGGAGATCCGAGAAATCGAGGATGACCAGACGAGGCGAGGCGGCGCAGTCTGTGCATCATATGGGTAGTTGTCAAAATTAGGGTCCCTAGGGTTCCTTTAAAGGGTTCCTTAAGGGGATCCATAAGGGTTCTATAAAGGGTTTAGGGAGATATGGGTAGTTGTCAAAATTGGGGTTCCTTCTTGGGTACCCTAAATATGAGGTGCCGTACTATAATAGGGACCCAATGAGGTACCATAATTTTGACAACCACCCATATAGTGGCCTTAATAATTACCTATACTATTTTCGGGTTCCTTGTTATACTTATAGTGTAATGGGCCCCTTCTAGCTATCCAGGCCCCTACATTAGGGTGTGGGTTCAAGGTTTAGGGTTTGGGGGTTTAAGGGATTCGGTCTTGTGTTTTTTTTTGGGGTGCATGCTTAATTCAATCCAGGGTTTCATAACGGATTCCTTTGAACATACCTTGAAAGGTACTTCTAGAGTTTACGTAGGGCTCCTATGGCCAGACCCGTCCTGGGGCTTTTGAATGAGCAAGGAAGCGTTTCTGTAGGCTTTTGTTATAGCCTTGCTTTAGTTTCTTAAACCTCTTGGTCTTTACACGGTTACGGGGTTTCTAAACGAGGGTTACTACAAAAAGGGCTGCTGCAAGGATTGTTTTGAGGTCTGGATGACCAGACAACCCGATGCTTTCGGAGCATCCGGGTTCGGTTATAGGCTTCCGGGGTAGGCCTTTGGGTTTAAGGTTCAGGGTTGAGGGTTTAAGGTCCTTTCGTTGGGAGTTTCTGGTTCCACAAGGAAGTGAGCAAGCAGCATGACCAGGGCGTTGGGGCGCACCTCCTTTCGTCGACGTTTGTCCCGCTGCCATAAGTTTGAAATGCTGCCCTAGAGGCCTAAAGCCACCTGAACCAAAAGGCAAGACCCTAAACCCTTACTTAAATACAGACGTCATCTAAACTCGCCCTGAGAACACAAGCTGACCATGAGAAAGAGACGGCCGTGACCGTATGCCGACGCCTTAGGCAGTCGTATACTTCTCGTGCGGTTGAGGTTTTTGGGCAGGGTTTCGGGTTGAGGGCATCGTTGCGCGCTGTTAGCAGGGCCGCACCCCGCCATCCCAGGAAACATTGGAAGTTTCTTGCCAGTCTCACTTTTTCAACGTAAGAGTGCAATACATCAGACTAGCTCTGACTTGAAGAACAAGGACTGAGACTGCATTGCATGATGGTACAAGCAGGCACACGCAACGCGACTCTAAATAGCAGACATCCTCCATTAATGGTGTGCACTTGCACACTCTGAGCTGTGCTGCGCGTGAAGCCCCTGTAGAACCCTTTGAAGCAACTCTTTAAGCGATCCCTACATTCTTTAAGAAACTGGAGCGCCCTTGTGATAACCTCTGTGGCTTCCCATCCACGTGATTCTCAAAGCTTTTGGGGCGTGGGCCTGAGGGTCGTTCTTCATGGAAAATGCTGGCAGTAGAATCTGCAGTAGATTATCTCGGGCCTTATATCCCAAATGAGACGTAGGGGGCTGAGTTTAATCTGCAGTAGATGCTGTAGACTCTAAACCCTAAACCCTAGTCTATCTATCCGGATCTAACCCTTTTGAGTTCCTCTACCGCAGCCGCTCCCGCATGGCGTCTGAGATGGCGGCGAGTTCCGAGACTCCGGAAGATGCTACTTGGTGCTGGAGTACTACCCTTAACCCCAAATAACCTATACCTGAAATAATAGGGGCCTTAATATTATGGTTTAAGGTATATTCCATAATTAAGGGGTATTGGGATCTCTGGGTAGCTTAACACCACAATCACCTACCTTTTTAAGGACTCATATAAGGAAAGCATAGTAAGAAACCCTAAAAAATTCAAGCTTCCTAAGGGTCCAGGTATACCTTCGACGTTCTTTTGCTAGACCTGTTCCCTAAATCTAAACCCTACCCTAAACCCCTAAGCTGTGTTTTCGGACCTCTTCTTTAAAGGTACCGTTTTGAAACAAGTGATGCATTCAGAGCCTAAACCCCAAACCCCAAAAACTCTAAACCCCCTACCAGGCAATGGAGGTAGAGGCGACCTTGGATGGTGGCCTTGATGTTGGAACGATCGAGGACACGCACCAGCTCTTGACGTACAAGGTGCCTACTTGTAGCAGACTCTCGTTCCGGAAGGGAGTTTCGCGATTTCTTCACCCAAAACCCGTAAGCCCGTAAACCCTGAAACCTGAAAGACTTAGAACCCCAAACCCGAAACCTCTAAACTCCAAGCCACCGCCCCTGGAAGTTCATTCCCGGTTTACAAGACCCGCAGCAAACCTAAACTAAGGCTAGGTTCCCGAGTAGTACCGTTTTGCCCTTTTATTTTTGGGGTCTCCTGATTAAAACAGAATAGTAGGAAAAGGTTACCGGCTACTATAAGGGGCTCATCAGGAACATGATAAGGCCTTCAAAGGGATCTCACTGTTGTGATACAGGGACAAGTAGAGGGCTTCCAGAAACCCGCAGCCATATGCCTAAGTTGCTTTTTGGCCCTACAGTAAGCCCCAAAAAGTTGGAAACCGGATTAAGGCCAAATAGTGCTGGGATTCCCTATACATTACTCGTAAGGATTGAGGCTATTGGGTTTCCAACTTTTTGGCCTCTACTGTAAACCCTAAACCCTGAACAGTTCAAGGAAAAACGGCCAAGCTGGTACGACATGTCTCGAGCTTTGCTTTGACCAGCCCGAAGATGCTGCGTGTGACGCCGGTTTCTCTGGCTTTTGGAGTTGCAACCTTTTCCTAGGACCTAGAGTAGGCCCTTATTCACTGTTTTATGGGTTCAGGTTCCCTTATAAGCCCCTTTAAACCGAAAAGGGCATCCTTTTTATGCCTAGGCCTTTGGGACATTTTATATGTTCCCTTATTGGGCTTAGTAGGACCCTATTTACGAATATTTTTCAGAGGCTTTAAAGGGCCAACCTAGCTTTTCTGTAGCTGCTATTGGGGCGGGGGGGTTAGGCTGTAGGGTTTAGGATCATAATGGGTGTTGATCTCTTTTCATGGAGCCGTGTTTGGGATTTAGGAACCAGGGTTTAGGATTAGCATATCTTTTCTATAGCTGCTATTGGGGGCGGGGCGGGGCGGGGGGGATTTAGGGTTTAGGATCCTATACAGGGTGTTGATACTGTGATGGGTACTGACACGCAATATCCTGGAAGATGTCTTCATGAATATGGTACAGGATTGAAGGTATAGGCGTCGCAACACAGTGGCTTCGTGCCGGAAGGAGGAGTTGGCTTGCTTTTGTATTTACCGGAGAAGAACAGGACTGTAGCCTGTAGCATGGCTTTTGTTTGCAGTCTTCGTCGTTATCGAAAGTCGTCGGCGGTAGTCATAGTAGCAGTCGTAGTCGCACCCGTGGTGATAGTCGCAATCGCAGTCGTAGCCGTGACCACAATCGTACTCGGGGCGTGGCACTTCTGATGCAACCGTCATGATGTCCATGCTGACAGTGCAGCCATGACCACAGAATCCCTGGCCCAACACAAATGATGTTTATGTTTGTTCATGACTAGAGCAGCCTTGTCCAACCATGGCGATATGCATGTTCTCAGTGCATTCCAGTGCGCCTGATCCTTTTTGGTGGTAGACATGCGATAGCGATACATGTATACGTATACGTACGTATAAAATATGTATAAATATACACACGTACATAGATTCGAACATATACATGCATATATGTGTGTACGCACATATCTGCGCGTATGCAGCATTACGTTTTCCTGGACACCAAGTAAGCATGCAAGTAAGATTGCAAGGCGCAAGTCGTTCACAGAACGTGACCTTTTGCATTGTCTCCCTCTTGCACATGCAAACCCTGAATAGCATATCAATATCCAACAGATCGAGAACTGTGAGTCTTGATCAGTCCCTATATAGACATCCATGGCCTGAAATTCCTCAGACCTTACTGTAATCTTGTACCGCCTGCGCAACAGCTGAATAGATTTCGTCACAAAGCAGCCTCGCCGTTGACCCTGCTACTGCTGCTACTGCTGCGGTCACTGCTGCTACTACTACTACTACTACTTCTATTACTACTTCTACTACTACTTCTACTACTACTGCTGCTGCTACTACTACTACTACTACTACTACTACTGTTGCTACTACTTCTATTACTACTTCTACTACTACTGCTACTACCACTACTACTACTACTACGACTACCACTACTGCTAGTACTCCTACTGCTACGCTACTGCTACTGTTACTGCTACTGATACCGCTACCGCTACCGCTGCTGCTACTGCTAGCGTTATGACGCTATACCGCTACCGCCACCGCCACTGCTACAGCTGCGGCTCCTGCTGCTGCTGCTACTGCTACTGCTGCTGCTGCTGCTACTGCTACTGCTACTGTAACCGCAACCGCTGCTACTATTACTACTACTACTACTACTACTACTACTACTGCTACTACTACTCCTACTGCTACTGCTACTGCTACTGCTACTGCTACTGCTACTGCTACTGCTACTGCTACTGCTACTGCTACTGCTACTGCTACTGCTACTGCTACTGCTACTCCTGCTGCTACTACTACTACTACTACTGCTGGTACTCCTAAAACTACGGCTACTGCTACTGCTTGTGCTACTGCTACTGCGTCGACTACCATACTACGACGACGACGATGACGAGAAAGACGACGACTACGGCCGGACAATGCAGGATGTGCCGAGGTAAAGACGTACTTGGGGCACTTGTGTGTACTGTTCCACCTACATAGATCTATATATAGATAGAAATATAAATATAAATAAATAAATAAATAAATATATATATATATATATATATATATATTATACACACACGCACACATGTATTCAAAGGTACATGCTACATAGATGAAAGGATGTATGCACATGTGCTCCGTGTATGTAAATGCATGTTTAATATACACACCACACGGGGCAGAGAGTCTACCAACCAAGCATGATGAAAAGCCCCAAACCGCGAACCACACCTCAGCACAGAGGCGGGCAGGTAGGGGGAATCAAGCCGCATTACGCCACGGTGCGGCGTGGTGCGAGACCAACCATTGCAGGGGAGGCCGCTGCACCCTGATCATATAAACGTATAAATGTATGTGCATACACACATACATACATGCATACATACATATGTGTATATACATACACCCACGAACGCATACACATTCGCAGAAGGCTGATGCATATTGCTTGGTTATGTGCGTTCGAACGTAGTTTGGTCTAGTATAAAGGTCGCTACGCTACGCATGTAGACATATACCTACAATATACATGTACTCAGATCTACACATAGGTAGGTGCACATTCGCGTGTGTTCTTGCGCATGGTGCATGTGTTTGATGTGTTTCATGAGTTTCGGGGTCCATTTGCGTGTTTGTGCATATGTGTCGATGTATACATGTAGACATGCATGGACCTACAGGAGCAGAAGTACATGCCTGGGGCTGTATTGCGGCGATGTAGTGTAATGTAGAGCAATGCACGGCAATGTATGCTAAGGTCATGTAAGGAAATGCAAGGTAATCGAATGTAGTGTGATGTATTTTAAAGCAGTAAGGTAAGGCACAGTGAAGTACGTTAAAGTGAAACATAGTAAAATATTGTAGTGAAGCACTGTACTGTATGGGTAGTGTAATGCTATGCAATGTATCCTCATGCAAGGTAAAGCAATTGTATTGTACCCCCAGGTGGTGCGGCATAAGGTAATATAATGTAATGTGATGCAACGCAGCCAATGCTATGCTACCCTACGCTGTGCTATGATATACGGATGTGATGGGATGGAATTTGGTGTAATGCAATGTAATACAATGTAATGTAATGTACTGTAATGGTGCAATGTGTGTAGGTGCGCATGTAGGTTGTTCGAACGGTGGTAAGCAAGCAACGACGTATGGAAGTATGTATGCATGGGTGGATGGATGGAGAATGCATATGTGTGTCCTGTTTGTTTTTGTTTGCTTGTGCAGGTTTACATGAACACACGCACATAGGTATTTAGCAGTTTTGACTTCTCGGTCAAGCTGTATATGCTCCCATACAAGTATGCATACTTGTGTACATAAACACGCACACATCTGTACATGGATCCACATGCACTTGACTGGCGGAGGCGTCGTGCGCAGTTGTGTATGAACTTGCGTTGTTGCTGTATGCCTTTTGTGAAGATATGTGTGCTAGGTACAGACGCAGGCCTATCGGCCTCTCTATGCCATATGAACATGTGTTGTACAAGAAACCCAAACTGACAGAGCAACCCAGGCTCACCGCGCCCTCTGCGGTCTTGGATACGCCATGCGACAGGGTCCTTACTCATCAACGGAGTGGTATCACTTCAGCAGTGAGGCAGAGCAGATCCCGCAGTTCTGGACGCACTCCTGGCACCTCGGATCCTTACCCTCGAGACGTGACGTGGGTACTGCTAGAGTTGAATTCCCACGCTTCTTAAAAGAAGTGGAGAGAAACCAAAGAGCAGTTCCAGAAGAAGAAGCAGAAGTACGGTTAGCACTATATATTCTGTCTGACTATACCCGGCAAGGAACGGCTTTGATTCCCAGGATGCTGGGTGCGTAGGAGGTCGTGTAGGATGCAAGGTGCCAGCAATGGCATTCTCATCGGCAGCATCAGCGGCAGTACTTGGTGGGAGTGGCCGTGGCTGTGGTAGTGGCAGTGGTAGTCGTAGAGGCAGTAGTAGTGGTAGTAGTGGTGTCGGTAGTGGTGGTGTCTGTAGTAGTGGTGTCGGTAGTAGCAGTAGTAGTAGTAGTAGTAGTAGTAGTAGTAGTAGTAGTAGTAGTAGCAGCAGCAGCAGCAGCAGCAGCAGGAGTAGCAGTAGGAGTAGTAGGAGTAGTAGCAGTAGCAGAAGTAGTATTATTTTTATCGTCGTCGTAGACATAGACGTAGACGTAGTCGTGGTAGTTGTAGTGGTAGTTGTAGGTGTAGAAGGAGGAGGAGGTGGTCCGGTGGGCATCCTGCTGACAGCGTTTCTTTCGGCATATCCGGTATGATCCGAATGCTAAGTGCTGTGCCTTTTCGACCTCAGGCGTGGCCGGGTTTGGTTCAAGATCGCCCTGCTGCATGTGATCTGCAACGGTTTTGCCGCACTTGTTCTTGGGACTCTGGTGGTGGTGTTCACATCCATTCCAATCGCTTCCATGCCGCAGATTCATTCCTTTACGGACAACGTGAGTTTCTGAGAGCCCCGATCGATAACGTATGTAGGGAAGCGATCCCAGTAGGCGGTTTAACCTGAGCAAAGCAAGCAAGCATGTGTGCCTCCTAGCAAGCACACGTGTAAGTGTGTCATTCATATACGTCTTGTCCGCATGTATACATGTGGTTGGCATGCGTGTATGCACGTATGCAAGACACCAAGGACCACACATGCAAGCATGTGAAAAGGCAAAGCACACAAGCAGGGCCCAAATAGTTTGCCTGCGCGCATGTATGCACTGTTCCTGATCCTCACCCTCCACACCCTGACTACCGAGCGGAGATTTCATCCTCATTCGTAATACTCAGCACAAACATCTAAACTCTCTGCCGACTATTTCGCCGAGGTTAAGTTGGGCCTATCTATCCAGTGGGCTCTCTTGGCTGGCTTGGTCACTTCCTGCCTTGGCCTGGTGCTCTGGCGCCCCTCTCGGTCTCTTGCCGTGGACTCTGCCCAACACTTTGTGAGCTTTCTCGCACCCTCCTAAACCCTAAACTCCCTAAACCCCAAACCCTGGACACTAAACTCCTTAAGCCCAAAACTCTAAACCATTACTCTTGCGCGAGTTAAGCTTGGGAGGATTCGGACCTCCATCTCGGGCTTTAACATATTGATTTAGTATTTTACTCCGTCCTCGCTTTCAGGTGCTTCTAGATTCTCAGATGTTGATGAGGGCGTGCGGGCTGTGCTATTTTGGGGTTCCTTATTATTATTATAGTACCATCTACCCCAAAACCCAATTCTCATTATCAAGGCCCCTATATTGCGGGTTTTCAGGCCGTTTGAGGCTCCTTGAAGGTCCCTTAAAGGAAGCCTTTTGGGTTCTATAAGGGTATTTGCAGGATCACGGGACTTAGTAAGTAAGGTTATAAGTACCTTAATTGGGGTTATTAGTACTTATAAGTATAGTTACCTTGATTATAATCCTAGTTACTAAGTCCCATGAGCCTTTAAGTACTACAAGGGCCTCTTTCACGGTTCTACACAAGGTATCATAGGGGTCCCTTTGAGGGAAAGAGCCGGCCTCTGGAACCATGGCATTTAGGTTAGAAGGTTTCGGGACCCCAATATCGCATTGTGTAATCATCAGTGCCCTGTCAAGAAGCCCTGTGGAACCTTGCGTGCGTAGAACTAACATAGAACACTACTAGAACCCGTACAACAAGCAAGACCCATAAGCGTCCTCTGAAGCACCGGGCTAATAACTACGGCCCCTGTGTTGCTGGGGGGCAGGGGTGGGGCCTGCTCCGATTTTACACGAATTTTGGTTGGAAGGCGTTCAGAAGCGGGTTTGTAGGGCTCAGCCGAGCCTGGCCAAGCCTGACCCAGATGTACGAGCCTCGCATATATGTATATATATATATATATACAGATATGTATAAGACATATATCTATCTATTTATCTATCTATCTATCTATATATATATATATAATACATACACCTATGCCCCAGGTTATAGTATGCTATACGTCGAGACCCTTGTCAAAATCATTCAGGCGCCGCTGTTGACCGTAAGCCCCGAGGAAGATCTTCTTTGACAAGATCTGCATCGCACAGAAGGACCCAAAGCTCCAGGTGGCTTCAAAGGGTTACTATAAGGCTACTATAAGGCTGCTATAAGGCTAGTATAAGGGTTCCTTTAAAGGGTTACTATAAGGCTACTATAAGGGTTCCTTTAAAGGGCTCTATAGGGGTTTAGAGTTTCCGACGATTAGGGGTACCTTATTCGAGGGGTCCTTATAATAAAGATCCTACTATGTAGGGTCCTATATGAGGGTCCCCTATTTTCGGAAACCCCCAGGCGGAGGGAGTGGTCAACGTCGGTGCCGCCGATGCCTGGCTTGAGGGCTGGTGTTTCGGGTTTCGGGTAAGGGTAGATGCCAGAGGAAGCTGACAAATTAGTTCTCGCTTGCTTAGTATGCAGCACCCTGCGGTAACATTTGTGGAGAGACCATCGTGCATTGGTCATGTAGACCCGTGACTAGCAAACTCTCCCCGCCTTACAGGATTTTACGTCAAGGCCCCTGTTCATTAACCATGGATCCAGACTCAAACCCGGTTCAAAAAGCGCTGAACCTTAAACCGCAACAGTAAGTCGCTAGCTGGTGGCAGAGGTAAAGAACTCGCAGTCTATGCTCGTTTGCTGGGATCCCACATACCTGAGCCGCCTCTCGACCGCATTCAGGGTTTGCTTCACGCTCTCTTATGATTAGAATAGGGTTGGACCCATTTTGCTATAGTTATCATAACAAACCCCCACAATAGTATAGATACTTATCTCCCTCCCCCTCTCTCTCTCTCTCTCTGTCTCTCTCTCTCTCTCTCTCTCTCCCTGCCTGCCCTACACTGCACTCCGTTACATGACCGTTGCACATATGTTTCCTGAGCACTGCCAGCGTTGAAGAGCACGTACCTCAAAACTGCCGGATTACAAGGTTTTCTCCGAGAACCCAATACCCCTTAATTGAGGAATGTACCTCAAAATTCTAGAGGCCTTAAGAATATGTGCAGGTATGTTCTTTAGTTAAGGGGCATTGGGATCTCTGATTTTCTCCTAGTCCCTCAACCCTAAACCCAAAAGCCAGATTACAAGGATTTCTCTCAGAGTTGCGTCACTGCATGGGGCGTCTGAGTGCAGAAGTGGGTGCTTGAATCAAAACCTTTCATCATTACCCCTGCGCGAAAGTATCTGCTGATCGTTGCTTGACAGATTTCTGTGGAAGTCGGATCTGGCTGTTGGTCCCCCTGTGCCCCTACGTACTCCGCTGCCCTTTTCCTGCTACATGGCATCCTTCATCGATACCCGTTGTCTCCTGTCGCAGCTGTCGCCCCAGTCACTCTGTTCTTTTTGAAGTCCCTGTCGCTGTCTGACTTTCACTTGGTCTTAGTTGTTTCTCTTTGATGTTTCACTCCCTCTCTCCGTCCCTCGATGTACCCCGCTCCCTGCCTCGCTGCCACCCTGCTTGTCCGTCCGTCCGCTCCGTTTGTCTCTGTTTATCTCCCCCTGTCTCTCTCACTCTCTGCCTTCTTCACGGATGCTCGACTCTCACTCTCTCGGTCTCTCTCCCTCTCTCTCTGTCTCTCTGCCTCTAAGTCTACTTCATGCTCAGTCAGGATTGATGAGTGTTGCATTTTCAAGGTTCCTGAATAGCGCGCCCTGAACCAGGAAATATCGATCTATCTCGACAAATTCCTCGGCTTGGGGGTTCGAAGTTGCTCTTCCTCGACCTTGACCCCTTGGGATCTCATTCCCTTGCTCAGAACTAGTGGGGATTACCTTTCTTATTCTTCTCAAGATGAGTGAGTGGCAGCAGCAACAAGCAGCAACAAGCACCACACTCGCAATGCAATGAGAACAGCAATGCAAAGCGAGCAACAGCAAGAACTATGTTGATGACTACCGGGAGCACATCCTCGCCATCTTCATGACACAATCAATGACTTTGAGGTCTATCCTGATCATGAGGAGAAATTCTGATAGGCGCAAATAACACCTCAACGAACCACCTTTGCATGAGGCTTATGGTGCGTTCTGGAAGTGGCTGCTTTTCTGAAAACCCACGAGAATGCGGCAGAGTTGATCATTCGGCCTACAAGCTGGGGCCCTTTGGCCATCGTTCTGCACCATGGACTGATTTAAGAGCTCATGGCTTCGTTCGGGGTTTAGGGTTTAGGGTGTTGTATGCCTCAGACTTCGGTGCTTCGGGTTTGGATTACCGACCTGAAGAATGGTTACCGAGAATCATGCATTCAAAAGCCCAGGCCCTTTACTTTTCCGACAGGCATGTAAAATTTACAGTTTGAGGTTTGTTAAAAAAAGCACTTGGTCTGGCTTCTACACCCTAATGGCTAAAGCCCTCATCCCGCATCGGCATCGTATAGGCTTCGAAACTCCAAGCCCTGAAGCAGCGCTCGAGGTTCGGCACATTCTGGGCCTGGAGTGGAATGTCGCAGTGGAACGCGCTCCTCTGTCCTCACAGTAGTTCCACGTGCCACAGCTAGGGTTCAGGATTTGGGTGTAGGGCACCACACTGCGGGTGTACGATTAGCGCGTTTTTGGAAACAGTGGCAGGATCGCAGGTCCTGTCTCAAAATGTGTGCGGGCTATGGTGGGACGAGACGATGTTCGCCGGTGGGAACACGAATCGCATGCCGAAATATCTGTATATATCTATATATATATATATATGTATATAGATATGTAGTATAGTCTAGTATAGTAGTATCTATCAGCCATTATATATTATAGTATATTTCATATGTTTCATACCCGGTTCGGTGGGTCTCGGGCTTTGGGGCTAGGGGAACTAGGTCCGCGGCGCTTAGGTGTACGTGCTTTTTGGGCTAGGCGAATAACTTTCAAGGGTTAGAGACATGCTGAATGTATTGTTTTTTGCGAGGATTTAGACGAGGTTCTCGAACGAGTAGTGTAGAAGCAGCACTACTAAGGGGAAAACAGGCAAAACCGTGGTTTCGCCTAGGGAATTCGTTTATTTTCAGCTTGTTTAGAATGCCTGAAACTTCTTTGCGTGGACACGAACATACCCGCTTTTCTCGAGCTCGTCGGAGTTCTGGTTCTCAGGCTCTGCGGAGTTTGAGCAGCGCGGACAGGTATAGCCAGAGAGATGCATGCGAGTCGGGCGGAAAACGCGTGTCACGTTTCGCCCTCTGCGCCCGGTTAATATGGAGTATGTGATATGTACATACATAGCTACAGTGTAAACTATACAGCCTCTGATGTATAAGAAAAGCAGCTTCGTGCGCGTCGTCGACTTTTTCCACCGCAGGAAGCGCAGCAGGCACAGACTCAGGGGGATCCCATACATGCTCGGGCACATGGTCTCGAAGCGAAGTCCCATGAGGAAACGGGCCCCACGTGCTCAAGCACCCGAAGCATCTGGCGAGTTTGCGGCCCCAAAGTTCAGCAGCAGCGCAGCTCTCCGGAGAAAGTTTGGCAAGCCACTGCCGGAGCAGAAGACCGAGGGCCGGCGCGAACGAGAGCAGTTGGGACCAAGGCATACGTCCTTGACGATGTGGACGCGGCACAAATGAACGTTATCAGCCCTCCCCACTCCCTGCATGACTCGCACCGTCAACCCCCACAACAACTCGGAAGCACAGCGCACAGCAAACCCCCTGAAGAAACCTCCTGAAAAAGTTTGAAGCACACGAAACCTCGTGTACAGCTGGGCGCCGCGCTCCAACTACTTGGAGGGTCGGGGGACTTAGTAACTGGTTATTTTAGGGACTTATAAGTATCATAACCCCAATTCGGGTCCTTTTTAGGGTACTTATAAGTCTACTTACTAACTACTTATTAAGTCCCCCGACCCCCCAAGTACTCCATGACTCCATGATTGCTAGAGATTTTTTATGCGTAGCTCCAGTATCAAGCACCCCTAAGCCCTACTCTAACTCTTCAGGGCCCCACATTCGGATTGTACCTACAGGCCCAAAAGCCCGAACCCTAAACCCTAAGGCCCCTACTTGGAGGTTCATGGGTAGTTATAAGTAGAGTTATAAGTAGGGTAACTGTACATATAACCCATATTAGGGGATAACCCTACTTATAACTACCCATGAACCTCCAAGTAAGCCCTAAGCATCACAAGCGACGCAGAGGAGCCTGATCTTGGGCTCCCTGGAGTCCGAACAACTGGGGCCTATGACGGTGGCACTGGTTTACTCCGCAGTCAACGCCGGAGACTGAGGGTTTGGGGTTTACTGGGTTCTTGTTAAGGAACTTAATTTAAGTTACCATAATAAGGAAACCCTATTATTTACGATAGATCCCTATTATGGTAACTTAAATTAAGTTCCTTAACAAGAACCCAGTTTAGGGTTCAGGCTCAGGGTTTTGGGATTTTACTCATTCGGCGCAGCTTTCGGGTTGACCCTGTAGGGTTTAGGGCTCTTTGGGGCTTCTACGGGAGTTCTATATAGGGTTGTACAGAGGATTCACACAGGATCTCTCAAGGTTCTATGGCTGTAGGGTCTTCGGGTTTGGGATTTTTCGGCTTCTTTGGGCTCCGAGCTTCGAAAGAGCAAGGCCGAATCTTTCAACCACAAGATCCGAACCCACACGAGCCCATATCTTAGACTCTCAAGTAAGCCCTAAACCCTAAGCTTACCCTTTACAGGCAGACTTTCGTCACCAGACCCGAAGAAATACCCCTAAACCCTAAACCAAAAAATATCCCTAAGCCCTGCAGCTTTAGGCGGTTAACCACATGCTCTTCATGCCCTGGATCTCCCACTTCTGGCGCAGCCACCTGAGAGACTTGGAGAAGGCGACAACCGCGACAAAGAAGACAAATCTAGAAGCATAAATGACTGCCAACATATTTTTTTAGGGTTCCTTCTTCTGCTTATACTATACTATGGTAAGCGACCGCGGCAAAGAGCCAAATGAGGAAGCACAACCTAGTAGTGGAGCAGGTATATAACCTTTACACGTTTTGGAGTACTATAATCCCCACAGAATCCCAGTGTACCCTCAATATTTGAAGCATAAGTAGTTTGTTGCCAATATGATTTTTTGGGGTTCCTTACTCTGTGTATACTATACTATACACCGAAACCCTAGTCTCCTTATTAAGGCCCCTATAGTATGGCCCACTTGTAAACCTGAGACTGAATCCCCGAAATGTCCGAAAGCCCAGATGCTTTGCAGGCAGATTTTACACCCTAGGAGGATCTCCACGAACTTGTCAACCAAGCCGTCAACCCGAAACGCGAAACCCCAAACCAACAAAGCCCGGCCCCAAAGACAAGAAGGCTTGCACTCAGCTCTCGGATTTCCGCTTCGACCGGGACGTAAGTTGCCACTGCTGTGCCCCTCGGTTGGAGACATAACATCAGTCCTTGTTTTAAAACTAGACTGTGAGACCCTCTACCTGCTCTACTTACGCATGGCTGCAGGGTGCTTATTTTGCTGCCTGCAAAGCCTTGGCAGTATTGTAAAGGCCTGTGTAATGTAATTGCGTCAGTATCTCCTGGAGTGGTGAGCTTTTCTCCAGATTCTTCCCTGTCTCTGCGTGCATGCGCACGCTTCAAGTGGAGCTATGCACTGCGCAGAGGCGAGAAATAGTACGAGTCCGATGCACTTTCTAGTTTCAGGTATTTCAGGTCTCCTTGAATTTAGGTATACGTCTGAGTTAAGCTGTGTTCTGACCAGAATGTTGTGCTCTAAGCACAATAGGGAAACCCAATTGTTTACTATAGACCCGAATTAGCTGCAACTAAGTTCCTAAAGGGATGGTCTAGCTTGGAACTTTTTCGGTTACAAGCGGTTGAAAGTTTGAGATGTTCCGGTGTGGCGTCATAGGAACCTTTCGGAGCCTTTTCATCAAGATGGCGATTTTTGCCGTTTCCAGTGCTGAGGCCATTGGACACGTGAATCCAATAACGGGCAAGGCGATGATTTGCGACCATGAGACCATAGGACACCCGGACCTAGTCGTTGAGCGTGTGTAAGCTGCAACTTTATTTTCACAGCTGCCTTTTTACCCAGACCCCGGGAGGATCTAGAAAGTAGATCCCCTAATTTGGGGCCCTATGCTACTAAGGGTACTTTATAGGAACCCCCATTAAGGGATCTACTTTTTGGATCCTCCCGGGGTCTGGGTAGAAGCACTTTTGGTGGTTGCAAGCACCCTAAACCCTAAACCCCAGAGAAAGGCCCAACACACTTTAAAAACAGAAAACCCTAAACCCCAAAGTTGGACACTGCACTGAGGAGAATGCCTTCGCATTTGGTTTGGGTCCACCAGCGAGTTTGAGCAGGTCATTCGCGACAGGGTGGCGCCGACTTTCAAGCAGAGTTTTCGGAAGCACCCCTTGCCATACAACTGGATGCTGGGTTCTTGTTTAGTAGGGGTTTGGGGGGTATATTATACTATAATGATCATCAGGAACCCCTAAAATAGTATAGGTAATTACTAAGGCCCGGATGTGATGTGGCAACATAAGCTAACTCCCGCAACAAGCCGCTACACCCGTATAGACTCCTATGAAATCTGAAAAGCTTTGTAAAGCCTGCAGGCTGGGTTCTTGGTTTAGGGTTTAGGGTTTAGGGTTTAGGGTTTAGGGTTTAGGGTTTAGGGTTTAGGGTTTAGGGTTCTTGTTAAGGAATTTGAGCTAAGTTGCCAGAATAGGGGTCTACAGTGAAGAATACTCAGCATGGTAACTTACATTCAGTGCACTAACAAGAACCCTGCGGAGCCTTAACCCTAAGTCCCACGCCCTAACCCCTACTTTCGAGCCCCTTATCATGCTTTTAGTAGAAGATCCTCTGAGTGGGAAGGCCCCTAGGTTATAGTGCTGTTCAGGCACCCGTAAACCCTAAACCCCCTTGAAGGAACCCTCTTAAAAGAGAGCTCTGTGGAGCCGAGGATTCTTGGTGCCACGGTCCCAACGCTCTGGATCAGCATCTGCAATGCCGTGCAGGCAGCTCATGATGGGTCAGATTTCCTGGCCTTGCAGCTCCCAAGCTATTCTTTTTGAGCTTTTACGGGTTTGGGGTTCAGGCTTCTAGTGTTCTTTTCTACTAGGTTCCTGAGTAGTACCCTTTTGCCCTTTTTATCTTATGAAACAGAGTAGTAGGAAAAAGGGTTCCCTAAAAACATCAACGGGCTACTCAGAAACCTAGCCGTTCTTTTCCAAGAGACTGTACACTTTCAGTGTAGATGTGGCATACTTGTGTTTCTCGTTACTGGTTGGAGTAGAGCAGAGCAGAGAAGAGTACAGAAGAGTAGAGTAGAGCAGAGCAGAAGCGAGTAGAGTATCTTCCTCTGAATGCACCCTAAACCCTAAATAATTGTAACCTGTGAGTGGCCTCCAAGAGCCCAGGATATTCTGCAACCTTTCGTTTTGGTTGGCTGGCTTTCCTATCCTTCTTCACATCGAGCGACTTGGCAGAGCTTCGTATAGGGGCCTTCATAGTTAGAATAGGGCTTTGGGACATATTATACTATAATCATAATATGGGAGTTTCCGAAAATTAGGGGTACTGTGCCGTATTTTGGGTTCGCTATAATAAGGATCCTACTATTTAGGGTACTACATTAGGCTACTTGGAGGTTCATGGGTAGTTGTAAGTAGAGTTATAAGTAGGGTAACTGTACTTATAACCCATCTTAGGGGACTTATAACCCTATTTATAACTACCCATGAACCTCCAAGTATTCTCGGAAACTCCCATATGGGGCAGCCAAAAGAGGCAAACCCGGAAGTCTCAGCCTCTAAAACCCTGAGCCGCTAAGCTCAGATTAGCAGAGCCGTGTGAGCCTTCATGCTGGCCGGGCCTTCCGCCGGGCCGCACCGGTTTAGGGCTTTAGGGGTTTAGGGTTTTGGGTTTAGGGGTTTAGGGGTTTAGGGTTCAGGGTTTAGGGTTTAGGGGTTTAGGGTTCAGGGTTTTGGGTTTAGGGGTTTAGAGTTTGGAGTTTAGGGTTGGTTCCAAGCCCTCAGCCTCTAGATGGGGGTTTCCGAAAATAGGGGACCCTCACATAGTACCCTAAATAGCAGAATTCTGTTTTGTTTCCCCACAGTACGGTACCCCTTAGTTTCGGAAACTCCCACATTTCGGACCCCTAAAGACAAGTCAGAAAAGGTTGGGGTTATGACCAGCTACATGCCTCGAAGGTCAGTGTGGAGAGTCGCAGCACATATCATATCATCCTCACTCCACTTTCCGGCTTCTTTCCACACCCGAAATCCTGAGCCGTAACCCTCAACTGTAAGCCCTAAACCCTAAACCCTAAACCCTAATCCCTAAACCCAAACCCCCTAAACCACTAAACCCTAAACCCTAAACCCCTACACCGTAAACCTAATCCCCGAAGGCACTACCAACCTGAAAAGCAAAGCCTGACGGCAATCGACCCTAAAGCCTCCAACCGTAAACCCTAAGCCCCTCCACCCCGAACTCTGAACCCAAAACCCCAAACCCTAAACCAGGGTTTAGGGTTTATGATTTGCAAGCCCCTCCACCCAGAACTCTGAAGCCAACCCTAAGGTTGAAACTTGTCCATCTCATGCGCCAGCAGCGTCGCAAGCTTCACTGTGATGTCTCAGTCAACCTGGTGCCTGCGCAGAGAAACCCTAAACCCTAAACCCTAAACCGTCCAGGGGTTCTTAGGGGGTTTAGGGTTCTTTTTAGGGATCTTAGGGGGTCTGGGGGTCCAGGGCCCTGCTGGCTTTAGGGTCGAAGGCTGTGAGGCTTTGCTCTTCAGGTTGTTAGGGTTTTAGGTTCTGGGTTTAGGGGTTTAGGGGTTTAAGGTTCGGGGTTTAGGTTTTAGGGTTCAGGGTTCAGGGGTTCAGGGTTTGGAGCTTAGGATGTGTAGGGCCTGGTTAAAGCATGTGAAGGTGTTTCTGATCTTAGTTGGGTGACAGCTGGAGTAGTAGTAGTAGTAGTAGTAGTAGTAGTAGTAGTAGTAGTAGTAGCAGTAGTAGTAGTAGTAGTAGTGGGAGCAGCAGCAGCAGCAGCAGCAGTCGTGGTGGTGGTAGCAGTAGCAGTAGCAGTAGCAGTAGCCGTAGCCGTAGCCGTAGCCGTAGCCGTAGCAGTAGCAGTAGCAGTAGCAGTAGCAGTAGCAGTAGCAGTAGCAGTAGCAGTAGCAGTCGCAGTAGCAGTAGCAGTTGCAGTGCAGTTGCAGTTGCAGTAGCAGTAGCAGTAGCAGTAGCAGTAGCAGTAGTAGTAGTAGTAGTAGTAGTAGTAGTAGTAGTAGTAGTAGTAGTAGTAGGAGTAGGAGTAGGAGTAGTAGTAGTAGTAGTAGTAGTTGCGAACGGACTGCGATGCCTTGTCAAGTTCTAAGGTGTCACTATAAGAGCTGTGAGCAAGACTGTGTAAAGTGCAAGAGGAGGGGGCACGCTACGCGTCCCTCGACTCTAAGGGGGCACGCTACGCGTCCCTCATCTTTACCTTTCTATGTGACCGCCCACGCAACGTTTGGCTCAAGTCAATGCCCATAGCTAAGTGCTATAAGCGTCTTCTATCCTGAGCAATCAGAGCTATCCCGTTGCACAGACGAACCGCCGCCGGCAGTGAGTGCAAAAGGAACGGCCGCCGGTTCTGCCTGCATAGGATTGCACGCGTGGAAGTGTAAGAGAGACAGGGTCCAGTCTGTGGAGAGTGCAAGCCAACCACACCTACATTCATTACAGCTCTGGTGGGGAGAGCAGCAACCTAGTCGAGATCAATCCCCCACGCAGGTTATCAGCCGTACGCGGCTCTGCCTTTCTACAGCAACGACTACTTGATCTACTACGACCACAATGAACTCGGGATCAAGCCAAGATACGACAATGACTTTCGGTGCCGATGTGGCAGCGCCAGCCGTTGGTGAGTCAACAGCTGATGACACAGTGGTGCAATCCGTTGATAGCTCCACGGAAGATGACAAAGGTCAATCTTCTGCGCTTGCCATTGCAAAGGCAGTTCCCAAGGTGAAAGCAAAGAGTCTACCAAGAGCATCTACGCCTTCGCGTCCGACATCCACAGGTTCGAGGACGGGCAAGGCTCCCGAACGACGAGCCGAAGCGTCTGGTTTTCAGGCACCTCGGACTACGTCCAGGGCCAAGGACAAAGGAGTGAAGACCTTGGAAAAGAAGTCAAGACCATCATCTTCGAGAAGCTCTTCAGCACGATCGAGGACTTCGCTACTCGTGGGCGTGACAAATCCATGACTTGGAATCGGATGGTTACCAATCAACCACGTGATGCTGACGATCTGGATATGACTCTGGACACTATCCCAGCACGTGGCGATGCGTCATCGGTGACCACGCCAGCCATAGCCGATGGTCCGAATGCCTATCAGGAACTGACGATTTCGCAACAGCTCGAAGCATCTAACCTTGCGCAGCAGATGTACTATCGCAGTCAGATGCAAGAATACGAAGGAGTTGTTCAGACCCTGATGGACAAGATCAAGGAGATGCAACAAGAAGATGAAGGATCTGGAATTCGCATTGCAGAATTGGAACGACAACGTGACCATGCATGCTTAGCCATGAGGCACATCAACAATGTCAATCAGGAGATGAAACGAGACTATGAAACAGCTTTGTTTCGCATGGATGAACAGAACTCTGCTCAACAACGTCAAGCACATGCCGTTGCCGAGGAGTTAGCTCAACAGCTACACGTGTTCCGCACGGAGGCAGCCACTAACTTTGTGCAGTTGGAGGCAAGAGCGCAAGGCGATGGTGAGCTTATGGCACGTGAGTATGAGCGTCTGACTCATGAACTTCATGAACACGCCAGAGATAACTTGGTCCTCCGGTCAAACACAGCAAGTTCGGAACAAGCCTTACAAGCAATGCAGGAACGATTCCACTTGGTCAAGAACCAGGAGTTGCGGGCTGTGAACGAGATCCAAGGGCTAGCTGGAAACAGCGCAGCCATTGATCAAGAACGATTTCGGCTTCGCGAACGTCTTGGTGAAGAGGAAGAGTACCGCAAAATGGCTGTGAAGAGGATGCAAGATGCAGAGGACCGACTTCATCAGAATGAAGATCATGCAAGGCGATCATTGCCTACCTTGCACGACGAGCTGAGTGAACTCAGGAAAACGCTCAAAGCACAAGAAGATCTTCAAGCGAGGACACGCAGCGAATTGGAGGCAGCGCGAAACTCCAATTACGGAGGAGCGACACGGCCTTCAAGCATGCCCATGTCTTCGAGGACTACTGAGTCTGGCTGGGAGCACGTAGGAAAGGAAGTAGTGCCTGCATTTTCCGTAGGAGGTGAGGTACGATCCCCTGAAATACGGTCCCCAAGTCAAGTTAGTCCAGTCGCCAAAGAGAAGTTCGCATTCTCGGAATCGGACAAGGACAAGAACCTTGTGATGGATGGAATTCCAGTTCACCGGTGGAAACTTCTTCACTGGCCGCAATTCAATGCCAATCGTGGCGGATGCAATGCCCGAGCACTACGTGCCAGGTATTAGCAGCCCAGCACTTGCGCGTTCCACGCCTAGTGCAGCCACTTTGTTCGGCATACCAAGCGGATTTCATGGGAAAAGTGATGCGGCAGCCGTGCGTGATCGACAGCTACGCGAACTCTTGGAGGATCGCGGGATGTTGGGATCGAAGGCCACAGCATCTGCCAGCTCCTCAAGACCTGTTGGTGTCGACGGTATCACCGCATCTACGAAGGGCAACGACCTCATCGGTCCCCCTATTGCCTATGACGATTCCATTCATGAAGCAAGGAGACGTCAGATCGAGAAAGAGGTCGCGGAACGGTACGAGGATAAGATTGCCGATCTGCGAAGCGAAGTACTCAAGGCCCAGAAAGCCGAACAACGTCTCAGAGCTGATCGTGATGAGTGGAGATTATTCGCTGAAACGATTCAGGAGGATAATGGAGACGATGACGGTGACGAGGCTGGCGACGAGAACGAAGATGGGGAGCACGATGAAGGAACCGGCACGGGGTATGACCCTCCTGACCCGCCTGATGATGATGATGATGATAAGAAGAAAAGCGGTGGAGGCAAACCTGAATCGGATCCTGGATCTCATGCGCGTGATCCTGATGGAGACGCAGATCCTGAAGTCACGGAAGTGAGAATTTCCAGGAGGGAGGCCGACAAAGTGACCGTACCTCCATGGCCTACTCTCACTCACCTCAACAACTGGCGATCCGTATGCACGGCGAATGTATTAGGAGCATCAGCCGATCCAAATCATGAGGACTGGATGTTATGGCTGGCACCAGCATTCAACCCATTCCCTGATGTCGAAGCACTGAACGATTCAGGACACAAGAAGTTCAAGAGCGTAGACGTCAAATTGGGGATCGCAATGGTCGCAATGCTACGTGCTGGTGGTGACAAATCTGCTGACCTGTACCTGGAGGTGAACCGGAAGGCCAACGATTACATCAGCAGGCCCGAAGGGAAGATCATCAAAGGACGACAAATCATTGCGATGATGTATGAAAGC